ACGATGAATAACCAGCATTCATTAAATTAAATTAAACTACAGATATAGACGATAAACAAAAAGTCCGCGAAATTATCAGTGAGTAGCCGATTAAAACATCCATAATTCATTGGCCAAGTTGTCTCAAGTCTTTCAATCAAGTTTGTAATGTGACCAGTACGCTAAACTATGTGATGATGTACTGCACTGTATTTTGATATTGAACGCTGGTAGGTCAATCTCCAGGAAGTCATGCTGGATCAGAGTTTCGTGCTTACCGGTACTCATCAGGAAGGTGAATCTTCGTCCCTGATGTAATTCGGATTGCTTCTATGGTTGGAACCCGTGTCGAAGAAAGTGGAAATCTACACAGCAAACTTGTGCACTTTTACACTGAAGGCAACGTGTCACACTTACCGAGTGAAGATCAATAACAATATCTGGTTGCTGAAACCCTGCGAGATGGAGCTAAGTCCGAACCCGTAATCGATAGGTTTGAAACTAACTGCCTACACCAATGAGCTACAAATCACTCACTACTGAAACCACATACTTAGCCATATTCAGGCCACGAATAACGTCCTGTACAATTGGATTATTTTGTAGAACCCATCACAAGTAGGTGACCGATGCAACCATCTAGTTCTTAATACTCGGCCTTAAATGACAACCATTAGCCTGTTTCTGCACGCTTCAGAGAAGCCTTGTTGATGAGTGCCAGTAAACATGAAACCTAGTTCCAGGGCTTCCTGTCGATTGACTATCAACATCCATCACTAGTGAATTAAATATAACTATTCCATGAATGAGATTAGCAAAAACTCGAGGGAATGCATATTTTCCGTTTAAGTCACAGTGGGCTCAACCTTTAAGTGCTATAGTTTTAATAATGAATAGTTATATATGTACACACTCATTCTGAATATTTGTTAAATGCGCATCCTGGATTCCACTACTAGCCACTGCCCATCATTACTATTTGTTTTAACAATTGAGAAATCAAGCTGAATGCAAGTCAGAATCGTTTACTGAATAACGTTCACCTAGATTTTATGATGAATAATGATTATTTTTATTAGATCTTTTGTCATAATGATATGGATTTACTGATTTTTAATATCTTGGTGTAAAATAATTGAATCCAAAATGTATGCTTCATACTAATTAGAAGTACTTCTGGTTCCAGCTTTCTACTGTTTACCACATTATCAAGGTATCTTCATAGAACCACACTGTTAAATGAATGGAGTATTAAAGTTTGGATATACGAAATCTGTTTACTGGCAACAGAACTAATCAGTTTTGAACTGGAAATGAACACCAAGAAGCTTCAATGTTTGATAATTTACTTTATTAAAACAAATAATTCAGAGATTTCATTGCATTGAATAATTTTGGTATTTTTCTCAGCCTATTTATTATTTTAAGCAATGAGCTAATAATTTACAAATTTTATAGTTGAAACTTTATTTTCTTACACTTTCCTAAGTATTTAAAATGAGAAATCACACTTTAAACTAATTGTAATTTTGTCATTTAACCATGAAACCAATATCCTGTAAAAATTTAGATAAGTTGAAGTAGATCTACGCTTATGATAAGGTGTACTTTTGTTCAGTAAAAAAAATATTCATCATCTTTATTATACAGTCTATCTAAAAAGAGATTTTTCGTAAAGATAATTCACCTGCTTTAGAAAAAAATTTACTATTGAACAGTTCTAAGTGGATACATATGGACTTCAAAAGATGGTAGAGATTTATCATTAAATATTTCATATTTTACCTATATACATTTATTCATAAATTTGTCTAACAAAGAGGTATGGTTTTGGTTCACTGTTCACTATTGGTTCTAATTTCTTTAGGATGAAAATAAAGTTGTGTTATTTATTCAGTCACAAGATACGGATATTCAACACCAACGTCAAGTCAGTGCTCTTGTATGGCTCAGAGACTTGGCGCGTCACGAAAGGCATTTCCAATAAACTACAGACATTCATCAACAACTGCTTACGCTCGCTGCTGAAGATCAGATGGCCAGAAAAAATAAGCAACAAGGAACTCTGGAACGAACCAACCAAGAACCTATCACGCAACAAATATGCAGGAAGAAGTGGAGATGGATTGGCCATGCACTGAGAAGGCCGACTGAGGACATCACGCGTCAGGCCCTTGAGTGGAATCCCCATGGGAAGCGACGAGTTGGACGTCCGAGGGTGACATGGAGGAGGTCATGCGAGGAGGAAATGAGAGCTTCTGGGCTGTCGTGGAGCCAGGTTCAAAAGATCTCAGAGAACAGAGGTCACTGGAGGCGTGCTACTGAAGCCCTATGTTCCACTAGGAACCCAAGGGACTAATAATAATAATAATTTATTCAGTCTACTTATGCTAACAAACCCGCCTAAACGTTAGCAGGTTAATCATCTGGGGAGGGGGGGGGGAAATAAAACTAGTGTTCTGACTTTTTTTGAGGTTAAGCATTCAAAGGTAGGTTCATTCTCCTCAACAGGAAAATGCTAGTAACAGACTTCTGTCGAAAACTTCATCAGTATCTCAATTTGTTATCAATCTTTTCGATTTAAAATAAATACTTTCCTCTAGGTATAGTGTATTGTGAATGGTTGATTCATAGATTACTTGGTGCATGTTGACATTTTTCACATATGAACATTTCGAATGCCCAGCTGTATTATTAAAAACTGTTTCCATTGGAAACCATCCATTCATGGTCATCAATTGTTACTTCTGACACAAAAAACTTCATCAACTAATGTTACACATCATTGAACAACGTGATCAATTAGAAACTAATCACATATGAATTCTATTTTGTAAGTTGAAATTAGTAATTAAACAACAAAGTAATGTAAAGCAGTTCTTCAGGAAAATTATTTAACACTATTACATTCTAGTCTGTTACTGGTAAATGATTCCACTATAAGAATAATAATATAATGCTTGGAGTACAGCCTTCGTATAAGTCATTTTTAGTTGAAAGGTAAATTCAAAATGAAAGAGCACTTTACAATATTTTGATCAATATACCCAAGTAAACTGATTATTGGATCGAGTTATAAATCTAAAGGTGTGTCAACAAAACTATATTTGGAATGCTGTTAGAATCTTAAAATCAAGTTGGACAGAAATACGTCTCAAGGCAGTATTTATCACGGACTGACATCAATTAGAGAATCACTGAAGACTTGGCTGTTTCGTCTTAGTGTGAGGTTCCTCAGCAGCACTCTCACGGTACCCTTCAGGGACCCAACTCAGGATTTTCAGGTCTCAAAGCGAGCCCACTAACCTCAAACTAAAGTACAGTGACACGCTTCGAGATGTATATCCCGAAGTTCTAATGAGAAGTTGTAACCAGTAGGACAAATCAACTTGAACAACTGTACTGTGTTCTCAAGTTTCAAATATATATAGTCTCAGTGCAGTCTTTTTATCACACATCGATATCGCTTAGGGAACAAATGTGAACCACAAAGAATCGGTTAGCTTTTTATTGGAAGTTTAAAACTTCTCATTCGTGTACGGGAATGAACCAAAGATAATCAGGTCTCATGGACAGCAAGTTTGCTACTTAGCCACTGAATCGAAGTCGAATGGTACATGTTTCTCAACTTCTATCAATTCATATCACAGATATCGTTAATGTCATTTCTGTAAATGATGCGATCACTTGTACACGAGATTCACCCCAGTTCCAATGCCCTTGTAAGTACTAGAGTAATAACTGGATAACTAATGGTTGTCATCTTTATTTTCCTCCTTCACTGGTCATTTGTTGTGTAGTACGAGTTAGTGAAATATACGTTTTGTCATTTTCAGAAGATGTAGTATTTTGAAAACTTGACTACCAGCAAAACGTTAGACTTGATTTAGATGTTCACTGATGTTTGCTTGTGTTGCATAACTGTGTACAACGGTTTTTTAGTTATATGCAAGCTAGTAAACTATATTTATGAATAACATTATGTCTTGGTAGATAAATTACCTGCAAACAGAATAAGACCTAAGTTCTCATGTTTGTTTGTTTCACTCAGTAATGTTTATTTTACAGTCAGAACTAGATAGTATTTTTTGGCCAATCTATAAATGATTACTGGAGTTCGTTTTCTAGGTATCTGATTATTCGAAAGTTGAATAAAATTTATCTTACTGTATGCAATAAGATTAAGTATCTGAACTGAACAGATAAAAAATATTGTTAAATTTAAGGTCAATTTTGTAACTATAGTGACTGCCATAATCCGGTCAGTAGAGAGTGACTCTAAAGGTCATCCTAACAACTATCGAAGTTACTAATTAGAGTCCTGTATTTTATGGAAAAAAATATCTTTCCAGTCAAAATAAAGAAATCGAATTGGTTATTTCACTCATTGGTATGGTAGCCTTTAAAGTTAGTCATCAAGAGATCACTTCTTACAGTATTCATTGAAATATATTAATCGCTATACTTACTACTGAGTTTGGGCAGCACTGAATTTTTGTCATACTGATGGGAATTTATCAACTTGTGGGATTAAAATACGACGATAAACTTTCGTATCTCGTCATTAACAGATGTGGATTAATTTAAAGGTGAACAATGTCTGTTTCCATACTAGTCAACTCTAACTATGGAAGGTGATTTCAGTTTACACGTTATTAATTGTACACCTTTAATAAAGGAATGCAAACTGTATGAGTTTTTGACTGTTTCAAATATGCCGTGTGTGTAAGTGTTGTACAATATGAAGAAAACCGTTGAAATAAAGTTTGCATCGTGCATAAATCTGAACGAAGTCATATTGACATAAAATGCTTAGTATACATTTGTCTACTATTTCATAATACAAGGTGTAACAAGATTACATTTTGACAAGTAATGAAGGAGGAGACAAAAAAACAGAAAGAAGCAACGTAAAGTCATTCAGCTTGAATAATTAGTTGTTTATTTATTCATCACATCATAATGATAGATAGCAATAATTGGTAAGTTTTTTTATATGTTTGCCTGTTTTATTATTTTTTTTAACTGAAACAAACAGCATCCATGTAGTAACCTATTTCTTGATCACTTTCACCAAACTCTTTTAATTGTATATCTATTAATGGGAGTAGATTCGGTTTACGTGCTACGAATTCAAATACACTACTGGCTTTTTGTTTACTTCGTTCCTGGAAGAAAGAGAGAGAAAGAGAGAAGAAAGAAAATGAAATAATGGAAAAATTAACCATCTCCTATAAAAATAATTGGATAACAAGTCATTAATTAAAGCTGTTAAAGAATAGAAGTGATTGATGAGAAAAAAAAATTCATTTTCGTAGATCAGTCAGTTTTCAATAAGGTGACTGTTGTAGAGATGAGGATACAATTTAAACAAATGTCAGTGTATTTCTTGCTGTCGATATAGACGTCTATCTTTACTCGACTGATGTGACGCTTCTTAGTCCTTCTGGTCATTTATATGCGTGTATCACCTTGTCCTTTCAAGCTTCTAAATAAGCATATTCGATTTCCTCCACTGTCTGAAAGGTGCTAAGAAGAATTAATAACATTTAAAGTTTGATGTTGGCAGTCAGTCAGCAGGAAGCCCTGGATCTAAGTTTCGTATGAATTAGTACTGACTAGCAAGGCTTATTTGCAAACATAAAGAAACTGGATGATGTACTCCGGTTAGTACTGAACAACAACGACTAGACGGTATTATAGATTAGCCATTGGTAATAGATTCTTGTGCATAATCCAGTCCTACAAAGGGGTAGTCATGATCTGACCAACTTACTGGCCGGGTCTCTGACTTTAGCACTGAGTAAAGCACGCCACATGCCAAGTAATTCACAGTGGGAAGCTCAATGATGCCTTTGAAGTGAAGACAGAAGACAGGAGTAAGACAAGGCTGTCTACTATCACCCATGATACTCCTGATTGTGGTCGACTAAACTGAATCACGCAGCAGATAACTGTGGGGAGCGAGAAGAGGGGGATACGCTGGCTGGACTGTGGAAAAGATCCTAGAAGATTCGGATTTCGCCAGTGATGACTTGTGTCTAATGTCACACAACCTTGAAGATCTACAGGCGGAAACTAACAAGTTGACAGAAGAGGTGAGGCAGCGGAGACGGGACTTCAAGTGAATGTGGAGAAGACGTAGGTGATGAAGATACCCAACCACAACACCACCACCACCACCGACAACAACAAGAAGCTCGAATTACCATCAACAGGAGAAACTTAGAGGAAGTAGTCTCTTTCACCTATCCAGGCAGCACTATTTCAACTACAGACGGCAGCACAGACGAGGACGTTGAAGTCAGGATCGGAAAGACGGCAAGACAGGTGTTCATTAACCTGAAATCAGTGTGGAGATCTACACTCAGCATAAAGTGTGAATAAGATCTGGATTTTCAACACCAATTCAGTCAAGTCAGTGCTTCTATGTGATGGTTCAAAGACCTGGCGCGTTACGAAATGCATTTCCAATAAACTACAGACATACATCATCAACAGCTGCCGTCTACACCTACTCGGTACTGAAGATGGTGATCATATGGCCAGAAAGAACAAGCAACAAGGAACTCTGGCCCTGAAATGAACCAACCAAGAACCTATCACTCAAGTAATATGCAGAAGGAAGTGGAGATTGATCGGATTGGACATACACTGAGAATGCCGACTGGGAACATCACGTGTCAGGCACTGGAGTGGAATCCCGATGAGAAGCGACGACTTGGGCGTCCCAACTGAGGGTGATATGGAGTAGATCGTACGAGGAGGAAATGAGAGCTTTTGGGCTGTCGTGTAGCCAGGTTCAAAAGATTTCAGAGAACAGAGAGCATTGAAGACGTGCTACTGAAGCCCTATGTTCCATTAGGAACCCAAGGGACAAATAATAATAATAATATAAAGCACGTCCGTATCACATAGGGAAGACCAGTTACGTCATGGTTGCAAATGAGCTTACTGGTCGCATTAATAGAATCCGGTCAGTACTGAGCCCTACAAACTAGACAGCGATATCGGTTGCCAACTTTTTACCAGTTCGTAAAGGAATAACCTAACTTCTGTTTTGACACGTGTTTTCCCTGAGTGCATGAATGTAGGCACTAAGCCATGTGGTAATCATTTTTATGTTGTGTTTTCTGCGTTACATAGAACAAACACGAAGCTTTCATTGTTATTCTGGACATCATCAGCAAAAGCTTCAGAAAGAGGTGCGCCATGAAAATTAATAACTTGCCGTCACAATCTAGGATGTGACTGGTTGTTTTCATAATCGTATTTTTATTGTCTTTACATTAATTTTTACTCAGTATCCTGCTTTCTTGAACTCTGACTTTACTGTTGTTTTGAGGGCTTTTCATTAGTTGATAGATTGGGCTGATCTCAGTGTGTCTACTGATTAGTGACTGATCTGAGGACCAAACATCTAAAAATTATCTACCAATTTTTGTCATTCATCCATCTGAGATTTCTATATTCTTGTAGTGAAATTCATATCCAAACTTGTGAATATGCATTGATATTATCAAACACAAACCATGATGGTAGTCGAAAGTAAGCAATCAATAGGAAGCTTAATAGATAAGACAGATAGTAATCAAAAGACGTAAAAGAAAGGTCTTAAAATCATTGTAAGAAAATACATTTTTAACCACAACTACAACAACAAGGGAGATTACCGATGTGATGTTTTGGTAGGTTTAAAGATATGATACTTAAAGTCTTAAGCCATAGATCCTTGCGTTACAGACTCGAGAGGAAATGTTTTTATCCATATTGATAACTAATGCCCAGGTGATATCGTGGCTTCATATGAATATCTTAAGGTCCCTAATCTACTCCATTACCAGCAAATAAGCAAGTTATTATGTACGATGGTTTAAATTAAACATTCACATAATACAGATTTTACCCCCATAAGCAGTCCACTGTAGCAATGCCTAACTCCACATTACTTGCCTAACAATGCTTGTTTTCCTCTTGTACTCTTAGTTTTTATAAGCGACTCGTGGAAGTACTATGGATACAGACTCTCAAATGGTCGTCGATTAGTTTTTAAATGCTTATCAAATTAATCATATCAAAATTGAACTTTACTGTAACCAACCTATCACGGTTGCGACTATAATAGACAGTTTAATCAGATTTACATGAATAACATAGTTGACAAACTGTTATTCCCATCAAATACAACTTACCATACATTCATCCTTAACTTTGACATCTAACAGAACGCCACCGCCAACTGCACGTTTGCGACGATCTTCATATGTATCAATTACATGTTCATCAAATAATTTAACTACAATAGCATTTTTATAATTCTGATTTTTCACATCAAAATAAACTGGTGCATTACGACATGTGAAAGTGAGAATTTGTTCAGCTTTTGAATGCAATAATTGTAGATAACGAAGTTGATTTATCGGTGCATAATACAACTACAAATAACAAATAAACAGAAAAGTGATCAAAAATTATTAACACATGTAATTATATCCATGAGACTATGTGAGAGAGTAATGGTTTGACAGACTGGTATGATTCAATACCAAGCAATGATCCTAGGCGAGATGAGAACTTGGTTTAGGACAGGAGTCGAACTAACAACCTATTCAATACTATACCAAATGCAATATGATAACTAGCTTTTATCCTTATGCATAACAGCGTATGTTTATTATTATTTTCCTCTTGCGTTCCTGGTGGAACACAGGGCTTCAGTAGCACATAGCCATTTCACTCTGTTCTCTGCAGTCTTTTCAACCTGGCTCCACCACTGTTCACAAGCTTCCATTTCTTCTGCACATGATCTCCTCCATGTCACCCTCAACTGGGAAGCCCAACTCATCGTTTCGCCTCAGTGTATGTGAAACACAGATATTAAGGATATTTGATCACTGCTACAAACTTGGGGAAGTGACAAAGGTGAATGACAACGAGGATGATTGCTTCACCTGAAACAAAGTCAGGGTTTCCAACCGAATGTAACTACAAGAGTTAAGCCATAACCGATTTTCATTTCTTATTCAATGTGGAAACAGCACATTATAATACTATAGGGGGATCCAAACAGAAAAACTTGATGTGAATTAGGTTGCAATTTTTTTGTAAAAGCATTGTCTAATCTTCTGAATTTTTCTCTTTGACATATTTGATATGAGATTATTGTAGATGGTAGACAAAACCGATACAGATTAAGCAGTGTTTATTTAAAATAAACTAATTCTTTTCAACTGCTTCGATATTCAAATGTGATATCAGGCGGTTTCGTGTAGATAGACCGGTATAAAAATACTGCGACTCTTCGACTTCTTACGCTGCATTTTCACGGTTGATAGGCTACTTAGCAATTATGGATATTTATATCCTGAAGGGATTGCCTACTCATAATCTCACATGAATTTTTAGTAAAGGTTACTACAAACTGTTGGGTAAATAGAAATCATTGACATATTTTCGAAACTAAGGTCTCCGAGGGATTGTTTGATATATTTGTTGCTTTTTCCTTCCGCTTATAAATCTGTGGAATATAAATTGCTTCAGTCAACTTAACAACTCACAGTCTGTTATGTAATTCATAGCCAATTAGTAGCACGGAATACGCTGGAACGTACTGTATTCAACTCTCAGTGGGTAGTCGGATATCTTACTGACACCACAGTTGACGTAAATAGGCTAAAGGCATTCAAGGCTTTTGAATGCGTACAATGATTTCTTAGATCATTGACCAAAAAGAGATGATTTGTTTTATATACAGTTGTTGGAAGCAATCATCAGAAAGCCCTGGACTTAAGTTTTAGGATTGTTGGCAGTCGTCAGCAGGGCTTGTGTTCATACTCAGGGGGATTGAAGTCTGCAGAGAAATATGAATCCACGTCATCCAGTGCTATAAATACAGACGTTATGACTGAGCTATTCAGATCGTGACTGATCTGCACGACTGGATTAGATACACTGAGTGGTCACTGCGGAGTAAGCAGTTTAAGTCATCTAGCCCTAAGCTCTGACCAATTTCTATTGATCATTTCTGCAATGTGGTTAACAAGCTAGGAGACGACTCACCATCACGGTGCACTTCAACTGATATTGGTTGGTTGGACGCAATCGATACGGATTCCTGGAACTACACTTTAAGCTCGCTGCCTCTATTCAGCAATGCGTATCCGCATCACTTAGCTTGGTGCAATAATGCGAATTAATCTATAGATATTGTTCACTGCTGAGCACTACTGGCTAGACAGCTACATAGGTCATGCATAGGCGATCAATTTCCTTACATAATCCAGTGTTAAAGAAGGTCTGTAGTAGGCTAAAATAGATTGATGATTAAGTCTCTACATTCAGCGCTAAGTGAATTGGGTTTATATTGGGGAGAGAACAGCAGTTTCCACATTGTTGCAGGTACAACACTCTGATTAGTGCTAAAAAGGATGGCTTCTACCGATCGACTCCTATGAATGTGAAATATAATCTTAAGATTTTCAGTCAACCATTAAATTAATTAACTTTTCATCGTGATTTCCTGTCTGCACAAACTTAAACGACTGTCAGTGTTTGACGTGGAACTCGGTATATTAGCTTTGATATACTTGAGAATCATATGATGTGCTGCATAAATGACTCCTTGATACTATATATCTCTGTCTTATGTGACAGAGTCAACTTTGTCTCCATGTGTGAGTTCTGTCCTGATATTTATGTCCATAACACATCATCTCAGATATAGAAAGCCCCAAAACGCAATAATAATTGATGTATTCACCATAAATATGGCGACAGTTACAGGCTTAAAATGCATTGGTGGCTTGGTTAGGTTATAGACACATGAGAATAACTGAATGTTGAAATGAGGTCACTCACTATTGGTTGTCTAACAACCTCACTCAAAAAGTTTACGTCCCTAACAGATGCAGTGTCATAAATGAGTTTTAATCACGGGTAGACATCATCTTGAGAGATACTGAAATCCTCAGTATTGGATAGCTGTGGGATTTCAGTTTAGAATTATTCAGCAGTATTCACCTTAGGCTCTAGGCAAACCATATCTATAATCAGTTGTTTTCAAGTCACATTTTTAAACTACTTCTATCCAAAATATAGCACAACCATCAGCCAGTGTCACTAGCTAGTAATCGTCCACATATCTGACTAGGTTGATCCCACATGTTACAACTTCCCATCAAAACTTTGAAAAATCTATTTCAAAGTGAATCATTAAAGTGCCTTGATTGGTTATTCAATTTAGTGGCCACTGAAAACGAATCCCTTTCAAGGTAATTTTCATCAGAAATCGATACAAGCTGACAGTGAGACGATAGTCATGGACTCAAACCACCATCTAGTGCTCTGAAATTTTCAGAGAATATTGATCAGTGACGGAGACGCTTTTGAAGTCAATCAATCACCAACAGATTTTCAAACTCAGGAGCACGTAGTATTTCTTACAAACAATTAGGAAATAACGAAGGCTACCTCCAAGGTTTGTACTAAATCACTTAAGCCTTCTACTAAGTAAAGTCTCATCAGCTGTTGATATGATTATTATCATGTTTTTATCAATCGTAACATCATGATGATTGAAATCATAGACCACACATGTAAATAATTTGAAATATTCTGATGAAAATTTATAAACGATGATAACCATTTGATATGATATTCTACATGGTCTTATCTATTACAGATGCTAATGAAGTAAAATAGTTGGAAATAAATGGATAAAAATTTGTTTATTTATAGTAATATCGCTTATAACAAGCCGAGTTCAGCTGAAATTGAACACGTATCAATGCTACATTGTGGTATCCAAAATGCCAGAAAAATATTCTCTATGCAAGCCCCATAGTTTAAATGGTCATGTAAGCATAATAAAGTAGCACAATATACTAGGAAAGATGATCTCTTCCTTTATTGTCAGTATATATCACACAGAAAACTTAAAACAACACCAGTACAAAGTGTACATCCGCTATTCGTAAACAACCGGAAATTGGTAGAACATTATTCATATTGGCATAAATATTTATGATTTCTAAACTAGAAACAATAGTTTCCCTTTACTCTCTAACATACAGAAAATGATAACATGCATAAGTGATTCATGAAATAGTTTCTCATGAGTGACACTAAACAGAAAATAGTATTACTGTTACGCTTATTATAATGCAAACCTTGAAGAACTAACCGATGAATGTTGTTTCGAAGTTATACTTTTCTCTCATCAAGGTGTATTCTGCTCTTTATTTTTAAATGGTTTATGCAAATTGCAGTGTTTTAAAACTTTAGGTCAATGTTACCTGTCAGAATCTTATCGGCAGGAAGCTCTGGATCTACTTTTCTTACTCCTTTATGCTCATTGGTGAAGTGCACCTGAAAAATTGGGGAAATTCATGCCCCTATCAGATCCCAACTTGTGTTACTTAGGGGACTTGCCACTAAGCTATTAAGGTCACAAGTGACTGTCTATAGGGCTGAAATACGTACTTGAGTTGGCCATTGAAGCAGATATCTAAACCGATATGTTGGGGGTATGATCTAAGTCGCCCTACGAAGTTTACACCATAACAACTTGACTGAATGTGACTTTTCAGTCTGTTTATTAGAAGTGTCACACAGCAAAGGAACAGTATCATTTACTGGGTAAAGTTTGGACATAATTTACTGCCTAAATGCATATTCATTCATTCATTAACTTTCATTCAAAACAGTCATTCAGTTAGTATCCGTGATTTGTAATTTACTGTCTAACTAACATTAGATGATAAGTACGGAAATTAGATTTAATCAGTCCATAATGGTTTAGATAATAAGAATAAGTAATTTCGGGAAAGCAGCAGGACCAGATGGAATCCTACCAGAAGCGCTGAGAGCGGACGCAGGGACAACAGCGGACATACATCACTACTGCAGAAGGTCTGGAAGGAAGGGAGGTACCTAGCGATTGAAAGAAGGGCTATCTTGTCAAAATCTCACAGAAGGAAGACCTAAGTCTTTGCAAGAACTGGCGTGGAATCATGCTCCTGTCCAACCCAAGCAAAATACTAAACCGCATCCTACTGGAGAGACTAGAGGATGCGCTGGATTCAAATTCGCAACCGGAATAGGCTGGATTCAGGAAATACAAATCATGTGCGGACCAAATTGCAACGCTGCGCTATGCATCATCATAGAACAGGGCGTAGAATGGCAGTCAACTCAACTCTACCTTAACTTCATTGATTCCGAAAATGCCTTCCGCAGCGTCGATCGAGAAGTAATTTGACAGGCAGCTGCTTCAGCACTCCGGAATAGCACAGACCTTTATCAACCTCATTCAACAACTATATGAGGACACCAAATGCCAAGTAATTCACAGTGGGAAGCTCAATGATGCCGCTGAAGTTAAGGCAGGAATGAAACAAGGTTGTCTACTATCACCCATGATACTCCTGATTGTAGTCGACTAAACTGAATCATGCAGCAGATAACTGTGGGGAGCGAGAAGAGGGGGATACGCTGGCTGGACTGTGGAAAAGATCCTAGAAGATTCGGATTTCGCCAGTGATGACTTGTGTCTAATGTCACACAACCTTGAAGATCTACAGGCGGAAACTAACAAGTTGACAGAAGAGGTGAGGCAGCGGAGACGGGACTTCAAGTGAATGTGGAGAAGACGTAGGTGATGAAGATACCCAACCAACAACACCACCACCACCACCGACAACAACAAGAAGCTCGAATTACCATCAACAGGAGAAACTTAGAGGAAGTAGTCTCTTTCACCTATCCAGGCAGCACTATTTCAACTACAGACGGCAGCACAGACGAGGACGTTGAAGTCAGGATCGGAAAGACGGCAAGACAGGTGTTCATTAACCTGAAATCAGTGTGGAGATCTACACTCAGCATAAAGTGTGAATAAGATCTGGATTTTCAACACCAATTCAGTCAAGTCAGTGCTTCTATGTGATGGTTCAAAGACCTGGCGCGTTACGAAATGCATTTCCAATAAACTACAGACATACATCATCAACAGCTGCCGTCTACACCTACTCGGTACTGAAGATGGTGATCATATGGCCAGAAAGAACAAGCAACAAGGAACTCTGGCCCTGAAATGAACCAACCAAGAACCTATCACTCAAGTAATATGCAGAAGGAAGTGGAGATTGATCGGATTGGACATACACTGAGAAGACCATTCGGGGAAATCATGCGCCAGGCCACGCCCTCGAGTGGAACCCGTATGGGAAACGACGAGTTGGGCGTCCCAACTGAGGGTGATATGGAGATCATGTGAATAAGAAATGAAAGTTTGTGGGCAGTGGTGGAACCAGGTTGAAGAGACTGCAGAGAACAGAGTGAAATGGCTATGTGCTACTGAAGCTGTATGTTCCACTAGGAACCCAAGGAACAAATAATAATAATAATTTCGGTTATAAGAAGAAAAAGTAGAAACTATGAAAAACGTACAACTGAGAACTAGTATTGAAAATTACCTGATTTTTATAGATTGATGCGTTACGTTTCTGTAGTTTCAAATGTGAAATCCACCAATCTTCTGAATTATTCGTCTTGACGAAATTAGTAAGAGGTTGCTGAAAGAGAGATAAACATCGGACACAATATGATTATATATAAATATATATATTAGGGAAACAATCCGTGTAGCCTGCCTAACTGAGCGTCTTCAATAGAACACAAATCAGTGTATGAAGACTCTTATCCATATAGCTGGAAATTGCACACAATGGCTCAGATACATACATTTCTTGTCACCTTCAAAGTTTTAAATATTTTCGTTAACCTTCATCCATGCATTCTTTCACCTATGATCCACCTCTGTTCATCCCTGTTATCACTTTTTCTATTCATTTCTTCTTTGCATGCTGCCATGAAGTGTAGCAACTTGAACTCATACATTTATGGATCAGATTCTATCACCTCTGTATGATGATGCTGTAAGCATGCAATTCATGTGGAAATATTTAAGAGTATCGGAGTTCTATCAGAGCTTAGCTAGTGATCTTATGTTTTATCTAAGGATCATACAAACGAAAGTTGGACCACCAGAATAGTGTCTATAAATAAATCACGTGTGTATCCGCGTCAAACTGTCATATAACAATTTATTGACATACTTGTTATTCTCCGTTGTTTTGTTGGATCGAATTGTTCGACCTCTATTGGCATATGGGCTCCTATGCGGATGCCTTGATATTGTCTGAATGCCAGTTATGGTACTTCAGTTGGTTGTGGCTAGCAGAAGAATCCAGGACGCTCGTTTCGTCCTATTTGGGACTTCAGGTGGAGCAATTCGATCCAACGAAACAACGGAGAATAACAAGTATGTCAATAAATAGTAATAACTACTACCCGTTGTACAAAAAATGGTTTTCGTTTCTCCTTGGCATAGTGGGCAACGCCTTGGCGTTGGAAGCGATGGGCACGAGGTGCAAGTCCCAGTGGAAACAACACCAATGGTGCAGGTACATCCAGGTGACGAGTCCCAAATAGGAAGAAATGCGTCCCAGATTCTTCTGCTAGCCTCAACCAACCAATTTGTCATATTACTGTTCTAACAGTTGAATAAACAGAGTCAAGTACTGTATAGAAATATATACGCATACACCATATTAACAGAAATGGCAAAAATCAGTTTATACACGTATGACATGGCAGTATCAAGTTCACTTTGCATAACATTTTCATGTCCTCACCTATTTATGCACTGAATAACTTTTTTCTATAAATAAGCATAACAAAACAATTTAAAACGTGTCCATTCAAAGATTAAAAATCTTGTTATAAATTTCCTGTCAATAAATATTTCGTAAGGTGATTAAAGTGTAGAACACAAGGTCATAAATGAAAGCTATTTCAGATACATCAGGTGTTTAAATAGACCCCGGTAAAGTTAAGATAAATGACTAAATATTAAATCTTTGAACTGGTATAGAAGTAGGCAACATTAATGGTTTCAATGATTACACTGATAATATTGTCTGCTGACATAGCGGAAATGCGATTGTTAAACTAATCAACTCACGGACTGTAAATCGCCGAAAATCATTATCCTACGCTGTAAAACAGAAAACTGTATAATGGGAAACTATCTAAATCTACGAGTGATTTTAAAGGTCATCCTAACAGCTGTTAAAATCACCAATCAGGTTTCAGCATTTCGACTAGGAAGTTAATTTTTCTTAAAATCATGACATCTAATTGGTTATCTCACTTGCTGTTAGGGTGGACTTTAAAGTAACACCTATCTGCTAAACTATTGAAATTATTTGGTAGTATACCATCAAGCCTCAGAAAGAATAGAGTGGCTTTAAAGGTCATCATAGCAAGAAGCGAAGTAACTAGTTAGATTTCTGTATTTCACAAGAAAACTGCCTTTCTCGATAAAATAGGGCAACCTGATTGGCCATTTCAGCATTTACTAGGGTGGACTTTAATGTTGCGCAAAATGACTTTCATTTTGATCATATTTCCCTAGCATGAACCAGTGGTTCTATTTTGAGTTATTTTAAAGGCCACTCTGGCAACTACTGAAACAACCAATCAGGTTTCGCTATTCCGTTCACAAAAGTAGTTTGTTCGACCGCTTTCATTACCGTGGCCGTCAACATGATGTAACTTTAGGTTTACTTTGTGTACCTCTTCCCCTTCTGGTGTTTCTATCAATATTCATATTTCCAATTTTAGTAACTCAATTGATTATTTACATCATTATTTCCGAAACACCACCAAGTGATTGGTAATTTGATTAAATTGTAAACTCATATATTAGTGTAGAGCCGAAGATGAAGACCTAATTGAAAAAAAAATATATTTCTTCGCTCAATCAGTTTTTTTCTAAAGGTAGTTTTATAGAAAATGGAGAAAAGTAATTGGTTGGCATTTAAAAAAATTATTTTACTGATTACAAACCTTTGGATCTGTTAATGGAACGATCAGTTATAATTTTTCTAACACTTAAAAGTTCACACTTGTAGTCAGTGGTAAGAACTTGTTACACACTTAGAAACCATGATTTTTATGCCCATTTGATTATTATCCCTTGATTAGTTTGTGGTCATCTTTACTTATATTCATTATTTGATCAATAAGTAAGACTTCTATTCATAGAGTATCAATAAATTAGTGATCACTTATCCATTTCTTTTATTGTCACTCAGTTTTAATATTTGAGATTTCTTATAAATTCAGTGTAACGAACCAGTGAAGTCAATGTCTTCAATCAGTATAAGTGAGATATATGTTGGTTGTATTAGTTGCATAACCAAGTTAGCCTTCAAGAAGCTGGTCCAGAAGAGAAAATGTTTATCATACTAGGCATAATATCAATGATCAATTATTGTTTATATTTCATTGTTTAGTTCTGTTATCTTCTACCATTTTATTTGTTAATTTTAATTTTATTGTTAGATACAAGTCTATAGCTGTGCCTTTCTGGTTATGTTACTCCGACTTAAAACCAGTGTGTAATAAGTTCAAACCCTATCCCGTCTTCTAAGGCGAACTAGCAAGTATTCTCATCACAATCCTTCGTAGTATTTATGATTTATTATCCACATATCTCATGGTTATTTACACGATTGTTCTATTGCAAAGTATCAAAATCTATTTAATATTTATTTAGTATTAATGAAACAAGATTCAATCTAAATGGAAAACTTATCACTAACACAGAAAGTTAGATCATTAGGTGTACTTCTCGACTACTCAAACATCTAGATTATTAGTTACAAAACTAAAATCAGTTAGATTGTATAAAAATACAAACATCTTGAACTTGATGTGAAACAAAATCTCTATGTATATACTATAGCGTTAGTTTGTCATCACAACTTCTGTTTATATTATTTCAAGTATATGTTCAATACAAATCTGGATTTATGAATCATTTAAACACTATGATACTATTCACTTTAAAGACTTGGCATGATAATTGCGATATTTATCAAAGAAAAGAGTGAATAATCATATCTATTTTGAAGTGAATTATATCATGACCACCTGGTGATGTATCAATGTACAATAATTGTCCAATGAATTGAATGGTTGTTTTGTAGTTTATACACATATATGGTATGTTCAAGCAATTATAGGTGAGCAATAAATTTTCAGTAATATCCTTCCTGTATATAATGTTCAAGGAATTCCTTAATACTGATTATATTGTTCACCATATTCATCATAGAGAGAAGATATAGCTTATTGAAACTTTCACACTGAATGATACCTGAAGCATTAACAGTGAATATCTTACTATGCTTCAAAATAGTGCGAAAATGGTATAGCAGTAAAAATCAGGTTTATTTCGAATAGTGGAATAAATAAGGAATTCATAGTTTCAAGAGATGACAGTTTTATGAATATTTAACAGTAGGTGCTGGTGCTTATTGTTGTAGTGACACTGCATTACTGAAGGTACCTGGTCGAGGACCTAAGCCAAAGATCATAGTTCTGAGCTTTTTCTTCAGCTATCAAGTAACCTTAACTGCAATTTAACTAGAATAAATTGTATTCTAGGGTGTTAATATGTAAATCTTTGATTTAGCATTTATTCATACCAGTTCAACCAGCATATGAGAAAAGAACTTTGACCCTTTCTTCAGTTTCTATGTTTTAAATAATCTTCAACAAAATCTATATAGATTGCTCAAAAAGGAATCATTAATTGGCGTTAGTTTAGTCAACCTAGAAAGTGGTTACGTTAATTGTTATCCTTATGCTTATGCTATTTAGGATGGTTTAGTTAATTCTGTTTAAATGTTACTCGACGCTAAAGACCAAATGTTGTAAACAGAATAGTCGAGTTTACATTCCAGTATGAAACTATTGTGTTACAAGCCTCGGAATCCAAGCCCATCTAAACTACTGAATTTCTTACTGACATACTAACAGTGCGTGGGCTTCAATACACCAACTACACTTGCAACTCAGCTGAGTGCTTCTGTTCAAATTAACTAGATCTAAACAAAAACAACCGGGTAGTTGAAATGGTTGTAAAGTCCTTGTTCTCATTCACACTGACTAAGAATCTACCAGGATAGTTTCTACTAAATGTCCTATTTGATAATTAAACTATTTAAAGTTGGTATTCATCACTGACTGACATCATTTGAGGAACCACTGGAAACCTCGAAGGATTGAACAGCTGTTTTATCCCAGTGCGCTTCCAAGACCACCATCACGGACCTAACTCATGACCTTCAGGTTCCACTGGGTTGGAACCCAATGGTCTGAATCTCTTACTTCCATCAATTCGTGGTATAGAGAGACCTTAATCTACTCCCGCCGTTAAGTATCTGTCCTCGCCAGTGGTTCAATGGCAACGCACCAACCACGAGACCTAAAGGTCCTGGGTGCACTCTGTCAAGTAGTCTCAAACTTGGACAAAGCAGCTGTCCAGTGTTCCAAGGTTCTCAGCGGTTCATCAACTGATGTCAACCCACTATGAATACCAACTCAGTTTCAGTATAATCTTGAATAATAATTCACTTTATTTCAAACAATTTGTGGTACAATTTGGAATTCTCAGCGTAACATATATTGCAATAACAACAAAATAATAAGTATATACATACTACTTTGCAGCCTTTTTAATTGTTTTATTATAAAATGCAAGTTCTGTAAAGAATATTAAAAACATGAAAATTTTGCATTGTAAGTTAAATTATTGAAATGAGATTTTTAACTGTCACAAAGTTGATGTGTAATTTCTGTTCTAACACTTTTTTCCTCACAAAATATACGTGCAAGGTAAGGTACAGTCGAGTTCTTATACTTAGCTGTACGAGCATACAGTCTTATGTAGTTTCTCCTTGTCCTCCCTGAGGAGATACATGGACAGAGCTGTAAATGAAGTGCATGCCCACTGTCAGTTAAAATTTCTGTAGCTAGTAGCTTGCAGGAATTCTATGTCGATCAACTACAGTGTTAATCAGTTGAGCCAGAGACCCACCACTCACCCTGCTGACGGTCTTCAAAGCCCTACGCAACATAACATAGTCCTTTTTAAGAAGACCAGGAAAGATTAGTGGGGAACAATATAGAAGGATAGGTAAAATGCAGGAATTAATAAATTGTAAAAGAAGCAGTTGAGTTATACCAGAAAGCCTCAATTTCTTTACGTAATAAGTTAAACGAAAGATTTTTTACAAGTCAATAAAATATGGGACGACCAACAAAGGTCACAAGTAAAACGCAACCCAAGATAGTTCACACTCGATTTACTTTCTGCAGAAATACCATTGATGCAGCAGGCGTCATGAGATTTAAGCAACTCACATAAGTCTTGTTTACGCCTGAGGCTAAAATTAACGGTCTGACATTTAGAAGGGTTTAGTTTGAGACCATTTGAGAGAGACCATTTACCAACTTCAGACAAGAATTCATTTAATTTCGAGCAATCCAAAGAAGAGATTATTGGAATAGAAATCGTCAGGTCATCAGCATACTTGATAAAATTAGTTTCAACAGAATAAGACAAATCGTGCAAAAAAATGAAAACAGAAAAGGAGAAAGTACAGCACCTTGAGGCACACCAGCTTCAGTAAGCCATGAAGTGGAGCGCATTCCTTTATGAATGGTGCACTGTTTCCTTTCAGAAAAATAAGAATGCAACCATTTTGTAACCCATGGCTCAGTGTGAGCTATGGCAAGCTTATTTAACAAAAGTGGTCTAGGAACAGAGTCAAAGGCTGATGAGTAATCCAAAAAGGCACAACGGACATACTTAACACCTTTGTCAAGACTAGAAACAATATTATGATGCAAGAGAGTAGCTGTATCTAAAGTACTCCTCTGGTGCTTGTAAGCAAACTGTTTTGGATCTCTGAAGGCCATCAATGAAGGTCCAATCACAAGCAGAAGTAATTTCTCCATTGTCTTCAGAAAAGGGGAAGTTATAGCGATGGGTCGGAAAGTAACATCTGATCCAGAAGATGGCTTAGGCACAGGTACAATTTTGATCTGCTTCCAAGCAGTGGGTATTATGTATTTAGAGAACGATACATTGACGATATCTGTAAGTGGATGACACAAAATATCTGCACATTTCTAAATGTGACACTAGAAACACCATCAGGACCTAAGCTTTGGGAGGGATTCAAAGACTTTAGACATTTAAATGCATCATTTGTATTGAAACCTGGAAAGCAGCTTTCCACTTGATTTTCAACATTAGGAAGGGTGAAATTAGCTTGCTGACGTATAAATGACTTGTTTAACGCACAGACATCCGAACGAGTTTGTGTTGTCATCTGTTTTTTACCGGTATATATTGGAAGAGTTCTTACACGATAAGAACTTCTGGTTGCATATAGTATTCAGACGTTGTATTTCAGACTTAATTAGACAGTTAAGCCTTTTAACGCCAGGGTGATCTCTCGCCTTATACAACCTTTCCTTTTCTCTCCGGAGCCTCTTGAGATGAGGAGAGGAAAGTCTGTCAAATCTGATGTAAATTGTTTCAGTAGGGCAGCAGATATCGAGACAGAATCTGAGGCAGCTTGTGATATTGGCAATAGTGTTGTCTAAAACTTCATCAGCAAATATATCCCAGTCCGTTTCTATAAGCATGCTTCTCAAACGTAATATATTTTCTTGTGAATAGCATCTGTATTGAACTTTCCTTGAGAGGTATGCAAAAGCTTTCATGTATAATTTTCCGTACACTTTAGGCAAAACATGAACGATACAGGGGTCGGAATTTAGCAGTCGAGCCCGTTTACGGGCTTCATATATACCAGGTTCATTTGTAAATGTAAAGTCTAAGGTGTTGTCAAGACGAATGGAAAAGTTAAGCATATTTTTATGACCCAATGATAAACCATCAAAATTAAACCGGGCACTTGTTCTCTTATTGGGATTGTTGTAGTTGACTGTGGTTGACAACTAAAGCGTTTGGTGCGTAACTGGTTTAACTGGAATCGAGTACAGCACTATGCGACATAATTTAGATGCTTTTCTGATTTTTACTGCGATAGATGTGAGAAACAGCCGATACTGGAATAGGAAAACCGTTTTTTGAATGGTTATATATGATTAGCTTTTACGACTTTTTCTTAGCTCGAAATTCATTTATTGGAAGTGAGGTTTATTCAAATGAACAAAGGATGCAACAGTGAAGCAACTTTTCCTTTCGATATCATCATTCATTTTCAAAGGTTAATGTCTAAAGTAGACAGAAAACCATTGTCACGCCAGGATTCAAATCGGTTTCCTTTAAATGAACTTCTAAGAGTTTAGCTTGCCTATACCGCAGATCCAGCTGCTAATCAGGCCTTGAAACGATTTCACCCACTAACATTTTGGCTTAGTTTTCATTTAACTATGAGATGTGACTGTCATTTCTTCATCACAACTATCACCCAGCTAGGTCTTCTTGCCTGAACTCGAATGAATTGAAACCAGAAAGACTGGAATCAACTGACTGATAATCAACCAGACTACTTGGAACAACTTTGCTTAGCAGACTGGTGTCCATCTTTAGGTGTTATAATTAAGTCTGTTAAAGAAAGATGATAGTTCTGTTCGACGAAAGTTCAACCACAGTCAGCCGGATACACAGAGTGTATTATGAAAACATTCTTCATAATGCAAAGAACATGGATAACGGATGTCTGTGCGCAGAAACGTTGTTTAGAATCTTTAGCGTTACACCCATATCTCCAACTGTTATTTTTATTGATATTTGGTCCCCTACTATCCCCTTTCAGTGTTCTTATCTTACTGTTGGGTTGACTGGGTTATTTTCAAGCTTATACCGCAATGACTTCTAACGATTTTAGTTCCAACACCTTTCTCTTCTAGGTTATCATTTTGGTTACGTAACATTTTATCTGATTGGATCGGATTAGTTACTCGTCTGCATATATATATATATATATATATATATATATATATATATATATATATATATATATATATATATATACCTTTTTAATGTGATATCTTGAGAAGTCAGATTTCCTTGTCTGTTAAATTTCCTTTCTGTGGCTTTCTATAGGAATTTTCTGTTCTTGGTTTAAGTGACTTTATCTTTTATACGAAGATAAAATTTTCCATAGTACTTTAGATAATTATCTTGATGTACTATTGGAATGGAATCATTACGTTTTTGGCGCTTCTTACTGTCAAAGAAATGATGAGACGGGACTACGACTTTTACCAAATGAAGTAAAGATTTATTTTCATGCATAATCTTTAGAACATTGGGAGATGAACATGCAAGTTTTACCTTGACAAAAGTAACAAGAAAAGGTTAGACGCTGAACGTAAAAGAAGAAGTGTTTCTGCTAGGTTGATATTCCTCCAGGACTGACTTCAGTTGGACAATCACTGCAAATTTAGAAGGACTGGTAAGCTATTTCATCCTAGTAGGAGACTGCTCAGCAGTACGCACCTCATGATCTCTGTGGGGATTGAGCCTCGGACTTTCGTGTTCCGCAGTCACAGCTCGTTACTCAAATAAAAACAGTTTGCAGAAGATTGTTTTATTCCTCTTGTACAATATTTAAATCCATCTGAAGCGAAGCGTTAGTTGACACGTTTCTCAAGAAAACCTTCTGGTTGCTAATTAATATTTAGATGCATACAAATCTTTTTGGTGTTACTGCTTTCTATGGGCTTGAATGCTTCATTGTTTGACTTTTAATATCCTTCCAGTCAATGTCATTAGAACTAACAGCAATGTCTGATAAGCTATCAAAATGTTTGAGTAAGTGGTTCAGTAGCTTTTCATAACTAAGTGATGTGTGCTTATCATCGGGACAGGTTACCGAACCACTCATGGAGAAATCCTGACAATACACTTCATGATGAAGCTAGTGCTAATGATGCTGCCTATAAAAGAAATAAAAGCTTCGCTAATAAACCGTCTAGTTTAAAAAATGCCACTTCACTGAGTTAATCTACCTGAACTATAAATATTCTCCCAGAATACAAATATGCTTACTGTTTTAGTATCTTCAGTTGGTTTGATACATGTTTCTGCAACATTTCCTTTATTCTGAAATCTGCACTCAACTATAAAGGCATCAGTTGGAGAGCCAAGATTTGGATCAATCCAGTAAACACCAGATTTTAAAGTCTCTGGAAACTCGGCTGCTTCAAATATATCACGACAGTGTCTAGCTGGATTTTGTTGTGTACCCATAGGACGTTCAAAACTATTCATAGACGCCTCCAAACTTTCAATTCTTGCATATATACGTCGTAGAACTGCACCGACTGATGGTAGCGTGTTCGGTGTGATACTTTCATCTAAATTTTGTACAATAATGTTGTTAGAAGTTGACCATAATGATATAAAAAGGTGTCATTAGTTTCTCAGGCTTTACATATATATATATGAGATTGATTCCCAAAAAGATAAAAATGATCGAAGAAGTTGTCTGTCAAATTTCTTTTTGAAGATAAAGGCAACACCATCTGGGGCACAAGAAACTGCGAACCCCGACAGTAATTTACTTCGGGAACTGAAATATTCTTAGTCACAAAATTTGACCTATCGTATCAAAAATGACTGCAAAGCAAATGAATAAAGTGCATAGATAAAAAAAATTCGAGTCTTTTTCATGTTACATGAAATAGTTTATCCTTTGATGGGGTGTTTAGTAACGCAGTCTAATCATTAACAGAAATATTTGATTTAGAAGATTTATGAAGAATGGATTATTTTTAAATAGACATTCACCGTAAAGTTATGGAAGAGACAGAATTATTGGAGGCTAGAATGCACTCGACAACTGTTTTCTTTTAAGCTGTGACTCCTCACTAGCACTCATCTAAGACCCCATGATAGAACGAACGGAAACCATGTGACAGCAAGGAAAGCATGTTATTACTTAGACATTGATCTGAAATTGGATAGCTCAGGGCTTGCAACTTTTGTCATTTCTTGATACATACTGGACGAGAAATGAAGGTGAAATGAAAATTCGGACAGGGGCTGGGCTCCAACAAGCGACCACTAGGTTTCCGAACTGGTGCTCTATCAACTGAAATAAGAGGCCCATCTGATGACCAGATTCTTATTTCACTTCAGTCACCAAGGATTTTGCCCGACTACCATGTGAATATTCATGGGACATACTACCGCTTGATCGTGCTAACACTGGCTACCTAGTCAAGACTTTTTGTCCCAATCCTTAATATGGCTCCAGCTTGAAGAAAACTTAGTTACCAAAGAGGAAAAACAAAGAAAACAGTGAGCTGACCACTTCAAAAAACTCTTGAATCGACCGCCACCACCACCTGCAACTCATCCAAAAATACTACCAGCATCCCAGCCACAGGATTACCAGTAAACACAAACCCTGCGACAAAAGCCGAAGTCCTGAAAGTCATAAAGTTTCCGAAACGCGAGATATCAGCAGGACCAGATGGAATTCCTCCAGAAGCACTGAAAACAGAAGCAGAGATAACAGCGGACATGCTAACACCACTGTTGCAGTAGGTTAGTAAGGAAGAGAAGGTACCCGATGATTGAAATGGAAGCAGCGCTACCTTGTCAAACTCCCAAAAAAAGGAGACCTAAGTCTTTGTGAGAACTGGCGTGGAATCATGCCCTTGTCCACCCTAAGCAAAATACTAAACCGCATCATGCTGCAGAGATTAAAGGATGCGCTAGCTTCAAAATTTTGACCAGACTAGGATAGCTGGCTGGCTTCAGGAAGTAGAAATCATGTGCAAATCAAATTGCAACGCTACGCATCATCACAGAACAGAGCGTAGAATGGCAACCAACGCTCTACTTTACCTGGACTTCATCGATTTTGAAAAGGCCTCGACGGAGAAGTAATTTGCCAGGCAGCTGCTTCAACACTGCGGTTTTGGTGCCACAAACCTCTATCAACCACATTCAACGGCTAAATGAAGACTCCAAATGCCAACTGATTTACAGTGGGAAGCTCAGTGACGCCTTCAAAGAGAAGACAGGATGATCTTCCAGAATGTGGTCGACTGGACTGGATCATGCAGCGAACCATGAGGAGCGAAAAGATGAATATACGCTGGATGGACCGATGAAATGACCCCAGAACAAGATTTGCATTTCACCACCGATGATGATTTATGTCCAATGTCTTGTCGCACAAACTCAAAGATCTACAGGTGAAAACTAACAAGTTGACAGAAGAGGTAGAGCAACGAAAACGGAACTTCAAGTGAATGCAGAGAAGACGGAGGTGATGAAGATACCCAACAAACAACAGCATCAAAAACAAGAGGCACCAATCACCATTAATGGGAGAAACTTAGAGGAAGTAGTCTCTTCCACCTACCTATGCTAGTCTAGGCAGCATCATTTCAACTACAGGTGACGGCACAGATGAGGATGTCGAAACCAGGATCGGAATGACGGCAAGACAGATTTTCATGAATGTGAAATCAGTGTGGAGATCCACTGCACTCCACTCAACATAAAGCGTGAACAAGATCTGGATTTTCAACATCAATTCAGTCAAGTCGATGTTTCTGTGTGATGCTTCAGAGGCTTGGTGTGTCACGAAAAGCATTTCCAACAAACTACAGACATACATCATCAACAGCTGCCGTCTATGCTCACTCGATACTGACACTGAAGATCAGACGAGCAGAAAAATAAAGATAAGCGACAAGGAGGTCACTGTGGCTTGCAACGAGCCAACTAGGAATCTATCACCCAACAAATATGCAGAAGAAAGTGGAGATTGATCGGATTGGACATACACTGAGCAGACCATTCGGGGATATCATGCACTGGGTCAGGCTCTCGATTGGAATCCAAATTGGAAACGACGAGTTGGGCATCGTAGCTGAGGGTGACATGACGGAGATGATGTGATTAAGAAATGAAAGCTTGTGGGCAGTGTTGGATCCAGATTGAAAAGACTGTAGTGAGGGGAGTGAAATGGAGACGTTGTTGTGAAGCCGTATGTTTCACTAGGAACCCATAGAACAAATAATAATCATAATAATAATAATGTTTCTTCATACTTAACTTCTTTGACTCCATAGCCTACAGCTGCCGCCTAGAACTTCAAGAAGTTCATCTAGGAGTAAGTCATTAGCGCGCATGAGATTGTTCTCCAGTTTGAAAGTTTATGAATCAACTGATTTATTTCAAAAGAAGTCTTTTGCAACGATTCAAAAACAATGAAATCAAGTCACATAGGTTTATTACTATTTTCTAAACAGCATGTTTATGTCTTCTTTTATGTAGATACTATTTATTGATTATGGTAATGCAAATGGTTGTCTAACGAATGTATTATTCATCAAACAGGAATGCAGTGCATACAATTACAAAATGAAACTTCATACTTAATAATTTCCTAACATATTAACAATATTAATAACGTTCCCACCAACCGAAAAGGGATTCTTCTGGAGCACTGACACAATAAATATGATATGGCCTCGTTATCATACCATTTAAGATATAAATCTTAAACTGTTAGGTGTGTATCAGATGTTAGAAGTATTTAACAAACCAAAAGTGAGTAATGATTTCGGATATATACCATTGTACAGAATGAATCACAGCTCATGAACTCATGATTGTTAAACTAGGAGACATCGTCCACGTAACTGTGACGAAAACAGATTCATCTGAATAAAACAACAAGTGCTACTGTGCACTTTCCTTATCCATTGAAAAAACCAAGAGGATATGATTCAGCCATTTGTGCCTGCATACCTACATAGAGTGACTACCAAGAGCAAAATTACTTGTGGATGTAGTTGAAACTGAAGTATGTAGTCAGTCAACCATAAGAATACTTAACAATCAAATTGTCATCCACCCTATTAATTGCTTGGCTTTGTCTTTTTTATCATTATTTGTATACTGTGTAAATTGGTTATAAGGGGCGATGAGTCGTAATGCTGGTTTGCGTATAAATTTGTCAGGTCCTTTAGGATATACCAAGTGATGTTGATCTTAAAGAACGTAAAATAACTTTCAAGCGACCTTTGGAAAGAGTATGTAAACTAAAAAACTGGAATCAGTTTAGCTGTATGTATTTCGAAGCTCAATGAAAGCAAATGGTTAAACGTCAAGGTCACTGATCCAACTTGTAACCTTGAATTATTGTAAAATCTTCGAAGTTCATACTAATCATAAAAGATTTTCAAAAATCTTTTATAATACCTTCAGTAAAGTAATGTCCTCTCATTTGATCTGTTTCAGCATTTAAGACTATTTTATTTATTAAAAAGAATCTTTGTGATCGAGATAAAAAATGGTCCAGATTTATGAGTCTTTACACCACCTAGATCCTATTAGTGTGGTTAAAGAAATATACTTTGCAGTTTCAACATTATAAATATTGGTCCAATAATAGTAAATATTGATGACGTAATGCACTAATGATAATTGTTAAAAAGGTCAGTGGGATCACTTGTAAATCGGCACGAATAATAAATGGCATCTTGTTAGAGATATTACAAAATTATACATAAAAACTTATGGCTCACCTGGATCTTGTTTTGAATAATGTGAATTCAAGTTTAAAGCATCTGAAATACTACGTCTAACTCTAGGTGTGTCCTCGAATCGATAGTAACCTTCACTCATATCTAAAACTTTGATTGGACCTGGAGGTCCAGGTGGTCCAGCAGGACCAGAGGAGCCTTTCTGACCTGGAACACCTGGTTGTCCTGTTGAGATAAAGAATAAAGTCTTAATTACATCTACTTTCGTGAACGGAAGTAATAATTTTCATGGAAACAAGCAGTTTACAGAAACAATTCAATAACTGATATAAAGTGAGAGGCACTCACTGTTCTGAAACTAAAATAGCTGGTAAGTAAGTGATCACTGTCTACAATTTCATTGCTTTTGATCTAACCAGTGAGACGGTTGTCTTTAGAAAAATATCCAGTGAAGTTACGTGGATACAGTGTAATGAGACCCTCTAACTAATTATTATTTCTGAGAAAATTGAAGAAAGCCATTTCCGATATCCTCTAGTATGAAGGAAATTATAATTATGACAGATTTTCAGTTGACAAACATTAGTAGCTACTGAAACTATCTGTTCAGATAACTTAGGGTAGCTAATTCTTATCATAAACAGATGACTGCTCAGTTTTGCATTTCTGAAGGATTAAGTAAATCAGTTATTCGATGCCTTACAATGAATACACACATCAACCCGAAGTAAGCCATTTTCAAAACACTAACTTTAGTCATGTAACCTATTTAGCGCTTTGTGAGAAGATCCAATTATTCTCGATAGTAGGCTTGCAATAATTCTGTTATTCAGGCAAAAGCGTTTTCTTTCTGTGGAGCTAGTCAGATATTAACCTATACAACAAATAACCAAGCGAGCATCTGTTTGTGAACCATTTTCTTTCTATAAATTATAAAGCATAACTCAAGGAAGTCGTGTGAGGTTTTGATGAAACTTTGAAACTCCTGACTCAACAAAACTGAATTTTAGGTCATAATTAATCTTCAGTGAGTCGCTTTCAATCATTTCGTCAGTCTCTGACCTTTCGTAAGCATGTCAGTCAGGTTAATTTTTAAACCTTTCTCAAATCCCACAACTCGTCAAAGTAAACGGTATGATACTGTTTTAGTTTCGGATTTCCCTAGCCGTAATAATACGTTTCTACACTAAATGATGAATATAGACGCAGAACTTTGTTGCCTATAGGAACTATACAGTTTTGGACAGCGATCTCAACAGTTATTATTCAAACATTTCACATAGTTAGTCAGTAAAAATGGTTCTGCTTTACTAAACCAGATCATGAGCTGGACAATCAGGAAGTCGAGGATCATAAAAAGCTCAGTCAACGTTAATTCGGTGTTTTACACTACACATCATTCTGCCATCATGTTCGTTCTTTTGTTTACTTTTAAAGGGGATCATTTTTAAGGAACTGCTTACATTAATTAATATTAGGGATTACCAAGGTCACCCTACCAACTGTTGAAATGACCATATAGGTTTTTGTATTTCATTTGCAAACGGGGGAATTGTCACTAGACAGAGATGATTTATAAGCAAGTGGCCGGAAAAGTTATGTAAATATGTTGGAGAAGTAAGAAAATGATAAATCTGAAGTGTTGAGTAAGAGCTGAAAACGGCTACTGTTATGAAACTGAGCAACAAAGTCAAAGATTAGCATATGAGATGGTAGGATAGACCAAAATGCGAAATTTATGGCAGAAAAATTTATGAAGTGTGTGTTGACCTTATTGTGGTGCACACATTTCTTCTGAACGCATAGATCAGACTTTCTGGTGTTGATGTCTACAATTGCTCCTATAGATAAGAAATGTTGTCATACTCCTTTGTGTAGATTGAAAGAAACAAGACTTATCGTAGGAAAGATCTAAACTAAAGTGATTTGATGTGCACTGCCTATTGAATACGACTTAACTCTACTGTTCGTGTACTTTGTCATTCATTTATCTAACCAATCTAGTACATGTTCACGAGCTTGAGTGCATAAAGTCCTCTGAAGTATGGCCTATGTAACTAGCTCTAAAGGAGCAGGTGAACTCATAAACTGACAGTGAAGTGACCAAAAATACTAACATATCCTTCGTTCACTGTTCCTGTTGCAATATTTTACATGAAATAAAGACACTTAGTGTTATTACTTGTATTATACCGTCGTTGGCTGGACCGAACTGATCAGTGTCTTTTGGCATGTGAGTTCTTGTACGGGTGCCTCGAAATCGCCTGTGTTTTTAATGATATGATAATGATGGATGGTGGCTAGCAGTGGAATCCAGCATGCGCATTTCCTCCTATTTAAGACCCATCAGCTTTATATATTCATCATTAACGTATAATTCTAACACAGTCAATATGGAGGCATCCACGCAGGATCCCATATGACAATAGACACCGATCGATTCGGTCCATTCAACGACAGGACAATAAAAACCACAACATTGAAGCTATACCCATCGCACAGGAAATAGCTATCGCAACTCGATGGTCTATTGGATAACGCTCTGGCATCTGAAGCGATCGGTTCCGAGCTCAAGTTCTCGTAGGAACAACATTAACTGGGAGGCAGGTTCATCTGGCTGACGAGTCCTAAGTAGGACGAAACGCGCATCGTGAATTCCACTGCTACCTACTATCCACCACTACTATACAAAGAAACTTAGCTGGTTATTCCGGTAGTTTCTAGCCTTTAAAGTTATCATTTAACATTCTGTCGAGTATGTTGATTGTTAAATGGCAAGCATAATTTTAAAAAATCCATCTTCATAAAAGTTTGCGTTAAGAAAATTTCTTGGGAATTCAGCTGTCTGTTGATTAAATTTCCGAAGGTGTTTGCAACTGATTTACCACTTAATTTCTTCATGGATTTAGCAAGCAAACCTCCGGTACTTATGAGCATAATCAAAAGCTGATTATGTCTTATGGATCTGTTATTAAGCTGAAATATCCTGCAGCTGGGTTTCTTAAAATATCAGGTGAATAATACTCAAATCATATTTATAGAATATGGTTTCACTATGTCTATTTAAGCTACATATCACATAAAATCCTCAATATGTGCTCAAAATTTCGTATGAACTGATAAGAAAGATGATAGTCACTGTTTTATTATAGTTACTCAGTATCAAACACAAAGTGATAGCGTTTCTTTTGGCCTAATTACATCTTTTTTGAAAGAATTCAATACGAATTGATCTCAATATCATTCAAATTTGTATAACATACATCAAATTAACTTGAAAAATGCTTTGAAATTTTATACCATCTAAGTCTATCCATCTGGATCATGCAATAAAGCGTGAGGAGCGAAAAGATGAATATACGCTGGATGGACCGATGAAATGACCCCAGAACAAGATTTGCATTTCACCACCGATGATGATTTATGTCCAATGTCTTGTCGCACAAACTCAAAGATCTACAGGTGAAAACTAACAAGTTGACAGAAGAGGTAGAGCAACGAAAACGGAACTTCAAGTGAATGCAGAGAAGACGGAGGTGATGAAGATACCCAACAAACAACAGCATCAAAAACAAGAGGCACCAATCACCATTAATGGGAGAAACTTAGAGGAAGTAGTCTCTTCCACCTACCTATGCTAGTCTAGGCAGCATCATTTCAACTACAGGTGACGGCACAGATGAGGATGTCGAAACCAGGATCGGAATGACGGCAAGACAGATTTTCATGAATGTGAAATCAGTGTGGAGATCCACTGCACTCCACTCAACATAAAGCGTGAACAAGATCTGGATTTTCAACATCAATTCAGTCAAGTCGATGTTTCTGTGTGATGCTTCAGAGGCTTGGTGTGTCACGAAAAGCATTTCCAACAAACTACAGACATACATCATCAACAGCTGCCGTCTATGCTCACTCGATACTGACACTGAAGATCAGACGAGCAGAAAAATAAAGATAAGCGACAAGGAGGTCACTGTGGCTTGCAACGAGCCAACTAGGAATCTATCACCCAACAAATATGCAGAAGAAAGTGGAGATTGATCGGATTGGACATACACTGAGCAGACCATTCGGGGATATCATGCACTGGGTCAGGCTCTCGATTGGAATCCAAATTGGAAACGACGAGTTGGGCATCGTAGCTGAGGGTGACATGACGGAGATGATGTGATTAAGAAATGAAAGCTTGTGGGCAGTGTTGGATCCAGATTGAAAAGACTGTAGTGAGGGGAGTGAAATGGAGACGTTGTTGTGAAGCCGTATGTTTCACTAGGATTCCAAGGGAAGAAAAATAAGTCTATCTATCAATTTCTCCTTCATGTATTTGGATATAGTCATGAATTATACATCAGTGAACAGGAAAACAACGTAAACTAATTGTATTTTAAGGCTTTGGTTCGAACTATACACAAGCTGACGAGAGTCAAAATTTATTCATACACCTTCAAAGGAAGAATCGAAGACGTCATCCGGTAATTACCACTTTAAATGCAAAATCACTCATTACTAAAAATAGTTGAAAACTTCGGTGGATTTTATAATTTCTGACTGATTATTGCAAAATTTAAAAGGAAGCAATAATTTTCGGTGGTAAATCACTGATTAGATTAGAGAAGAGTTTTGATGTATGTATAAAATAATACTATTGGTCTAGAAATCATGTATTTAGACTTAAGTTTGAAAGTTGGAACAAAAGGTTAACTGCAATGTTATGCAAATAAGGTTTAAGAGCAACAACTTAAGAAATTGTCTGAAGAAAAAGATAATTCAGATACCAATATATAACAGTAGAGGAATAAATTAACGTAGAACCCAAGACAGAATTGGTTCATTTCAAGTTGAGAAAGGCTTTGAAAAACGAAATGGATAAGGAAACGGTGGTACTAGGGTAATTATTGGCTTTTAAGAGGAGAGAGAAACAATAAACGGAGACCACTGAAAATATTTGAGACTTGAAAGATGACGAAAAATATATACATCTTCTCTTTTATGTCTGATTTATGCTCAAATTACCTAGAGTGTTCAAGAAATGATCCTGTGGATTATGATACATAGCCACGCGTAACCTATGTGGCTCAGACTAACACTTATAGAATTTGTGAACTATTGCCACCGTTAGCCTTCCATCAACCTAATCTCACTCCGGCTAACATTGAACATCAAGGTTGGCCTTGAGTGAGCATTCTTACAATATGTCAATGTAATCTCAGTTGTTAATGATCTACAGCTTCATTGACTGACTTGTCTTCCTTGCCTAACACCCTTCACCTACTCTCACAGTTGCGTGGACCGTGGGAATTATTTTTTCCATTGTTGCATAGTCATACGAAACTTTATAAACCTAACCATCTTCTTCAACTAACAGTCAACATAACAGGCTTTCAATGGCATAAACCACCTCAATGTTTGACTCACACCGAGATAGATTCGATAGAGACAAACTAAATTCTTATTGCCTGAAGGTTAGATTCAAATTTATAGATGAGTTGGAGCAATCTATTCACCAATGAGAAACACAAGAAACGACAAAAAGGTCAGACTTTACGTCACCCAGTCGAAATATGTCTGAAGACAATAACATGAGTTAAACAGAAATGACCCATTCCACTTGAGGTCATCGGGACAAGTTACTAGGTCACCAATAAAGGAAATCTCATAGCTAACTTCTGAATAGAATTTTCGCTGAGTTAGTTGTTTAGAGTGCAAATAAAAGCTTCAGGATTAGACCATCTAGTTCAAGGAACACAAAAACCATCAAAATTTTTGTATGTTTATATTATTACTATCGAATTATGTTTAAGATATCCATAATATATTCATAAAGGTAACTGTGGTTTGTATGATTAAGGAATCTGTAATAGATTGATTCTCATATAATTTTATTCTTGTTTTAATATCATGCAATTCCAGATTTACCGACATTCCGATTCCACAGATAACACGGCGTTTGTTCAAAATGACCGTTATTTCATGCACATTTAGTCACCTAGTCTTAGTAATCATGGCTAAATAAAGGTAATGATACGTAATGGTTAACAGTGGAATCAAGGACGTGAGATTTTTCATTTTTAGGACTCGTCAGATGGATGTACCTACCTCCCAGTGAGCAATGTTGTTACCACTAAGAATCGAACTTCGCGTCGGTCACTTCAAATCCCAGATCATTATCCACTAGACCAGGGAGTAGTGATAGCCACCTCTTATGAGATGGGTGTAGTTTTTTGTTGTCACTTTTAACCATCATTACCAAAAATGGAGACTACAGACAATATCGGGTTCTCCATACAGGAGACCATATGCCAATCAACGACGGGATAATACAAGAAACAAAATAAAAATGGTTTAGTAATGTGTAGAAAATAGCGATTTTGTTACGGAACACTATGAAATGTTCAGTAACATGAAGTGTTTGTTTGGTGAATCAAATTTTAATGAGAACAGATGATCCCAGTTATTCTTGAATGTACCATTTCATTATAAGGATGAGAGTGTTTAAAGTTTGCTGTACTTTTCCTAAACTGGTCAGGAGAAATCCGCTGCATCATATTGCAGTACAACGATGCAAGTTAGCGCAACATTCAACACTGAATAAAGTTCATTTTTCCTAACTGTAGATCATGGTTGAAGTACAGGGTGTTTAATTTTTATTTCAATTTCAGAATATAAGTTCACAAATGAAGAGTATTTTTTTCAATGTAGAATATGAAATAACGGATAAGTCAGACAGATAAGTATCAGTTTTTTCATTAAATATAAGGTAGACTATTCTAAGAGAAATCGACGGTCATTTTATACAAATTAGTTTGTTTAATGTAACTTCTATAGATGTATTGGCTAGTTAATCAACAAAACAGGTTATAAATTTAATTTGTTCCAAGTTTCATCTTACTGGTATAAAATTTTAAGAACGTAACCTCACATAATCACTTATTTCTTAATAACTCAGTGTCATTATAAACACGTATTGTTCTTATCAGTAATTATATACAGTAAGAGGCAATATTGAAAACTTGTAAACCAATAATGTACACAGAATTAACACATTTCAAATATAAGTTTTCAAACTAACCTGGTGGTCCAGTATGTCCTGCTGGACCTTCTGGACCTATTGGTCCAGGGGGACCTGGTGGTCCTGGATCACCTACCGGACCAACAGGACCCCTTTCCCCTTTAAGACCAACCACTCCACGCACACCTTCCAGTCCAGGAATTCCTTGTTCACCTTTAGGCCCAGGCGGACCCATAGGACCAACTGGACCATATGTACCTTTACTACCTTTTGGACCACGATCTCCTTGTATGCCAGATTCACCCTGTTTACCCTGATAGAAAAAATTTTTATTCAAAATAAGAAGTAAAACTATTTGAAAAATGTTGGTCCTATAGTTAATTTTAGCACACAGATAAATGTCAACGGAACGGAAGACCACTATTTTGTCCTGTATTTAAACAACGCAGCATGTTTCAGGAGTTATCTTTATCGCATGCATGTAGTAATTATTTCACTATACAATCATGTTTCTCTTTGTTCAGTCACTTCATCAGCCGGTACATCGAACTCTGATAAAAAAGCTATCTCTGCAACTAACAACTATACCAGGACCCATAATAGCAGACATGAGTGGAAACAAAGAGCAAAGTGATAATTTTACAACACTAACATTCTAACCACCTTTGTCTGCACTACCACTACAACTTAGATAACCATTTCATGGATAATTATTTTCCTATTAAAAAAAAGCATGATTAATTTACCTGTAGACCTTCTGGTCCTCGTTCTCCTGTTTTACCTTGTTTTCCTATTACCCCCTAGATGTTATCAAAAAGAAAAAAAAACATCATAGATAAACATTGTTGTATCAAATAGAAAGACTGCTAAGTCATTCATTAATTGTTCCATCTGATAAAGATACTAGTGAGCATTTACTCAAAACATTTTGCATGAATCAGCACGTTACATGTACTAGTGTTAAGGATTTCATAAAAATAAAGTAGACAACCTTCATGCCTACAATTTTCCTTTACATGCTACTGGGACTCATATTCTAATGATGTTTGTTATCTGTCAGAGGTTATCCCTAGGGACTAAGACAGTTTTGTTCCAGGAAATTAGGACTTATGAGGTGTTTCAAATTAAGAGATGTATTTGCTGACACTCTTATTAAGATAACAGTCATCAAGATTCAGTAAGGTATATTCGATTAAAAGTATCAATACTAAATGACGGCGTAAAGCATAATTATCTTTCATAGACAACCAACACTGTTATACAGCTTCTAAATGTGTTATTTTGTCAGTTTGGTTATGATTTCGAAGTTATTGTTGGTCTTGTCATTCACATTTTTACCTTCATCTTAATCGATCAAATCTTGATTGAATCTCATTTTCTCACGGTTAACTAAACCTTGCTATTATTTTCAGCCCTCTGCGTCATCATTATATCTATCATCGATTTTAATGCGAAAATATTCTCTTTTACTGTTTCTCTTTGAAATCTTTGATTGGTTTGATAACTTCATCTTCTATCTCAACAACAAACGTTTGTACACATTGTTAACTTGTAGAATTAATGATGTATTCTATTGCTGAACGAATTGTCGGTGTGTTTAGCCATGAAAGCTGTTATTACAATGAACGGATACCTAAAGAGTAGTCAATTTTATATTATCTAGTCCATAGTGCCTACTGAATTCAACTGTTAATTTTGAAATATAGTCAGTCACCAAGCTATGAGACTGATTATGTAAGTGGAATTTGATTTGTTCCAGGTATTTGGGGACAGTTGACAGAAAGTCGTGAATCCAAACTCGTTGCTTGTTCCTACTGATCAGTATGGTGTACCTATGAATTTGAGAGGACGAATTTCACCTCAGAGATGCAAAAATCTGTCAATTAAATTCTTCTCATTCGCGTAAAATATTTTGCTTTACTCAAATATTGTCTTAGAGGACAGTATGGAATTTATTTAGAAATTCAGTAAGGAAATTCACCCATGACAAAGGTGAGAGAGAACAAATGATTGCAATCAAGTAGAAATGTCATTTGTGCTTATATAAATAATTGTAAAAGTAACTAATTTTTTTCAATTTCAGCAATTGAATTATCACAGTAAGTTTTAATCATTCTCAGCAAGATTAATCATTTAGCCTACTTAAGCACTTCACTCAACTATCCCATACAGAATACAAACTTCAAGGTCAAATGATGTGACGATCACAACCCACTAAACTCTTGTTTTATTTTATGATAGCTATAGATTTGAAATCCCACTCACATATTTTCTGAGTGAAAAACAATCGAGGCCAGCTTAATGAGAATTCTTACCATGTATATATAATATTCTGAGTCACATAAATAATACCAACTATGAATTCAAATGAAATTGATTAACCTCTCCTAATATGGTATGAAGAAATGTGTACATATGAAACGTGTTTCAACATAAAAACAGTGAACATAAAAGTGATCACAATGGAAAATATTCGAACAAAGCTGTTTTAAGAACTGTATTTACTTAAAACCTATCCTATATTACACATCAATTACCAGTGAGTAGTCGACGTAACTTTCTAGTACTTAGTGCTCAGTTGTGATCCAAGTTTATTGATCAAGTTTTTTAAAACAACCACTAAGCCAAGTGAAGTGACACTAAGACGCCTTGTATTTTGGTGTGAGATAGGCGACTGACTCTGGGCTGCATAGCTTATTGGTAAGGTCTTTGACTTCATTGGTGATGGAGGGGGGTTTGGACGAACCCAGGAACAAGAATTCTATTATAGTTGAGGTTGCAGCTTTGCTGGTGGATGCAAACAAGTACAGAACATCATATAAACTCCTAGAATCTAACACCAAAATTTTCGGTTTTTATTTTTATTGTTACTTTTATTATTTCTGATGGTGGCCTTCTTGAACTTTGGGCTACCAATAAAATTTTCCATTGAACATATTACATCAACTTCTCTTTCAGTTTGTTTCAATCTTTCAAATATGTCCTGCAAACATATCACGTACTAGTGCAGATTTTTAAAATGTTCTGAAGTAGCCATTTTTGGGATTACTGACAAAACGAAGAAGAATTGTCACGCAATACGCAAGCAGACTTTAAAAGCCCAAAAATACATTATATTTCTATGCCTCGGATACCTTTCTCGAACAGCTCAGTCTTCCGTTGGTTGAATGAACCACCACCACTAAAGACTGAACGTCAATCCAATACCACCCGGCTGCTTCACATTATTGCCTTTGATGGCATTATTATGAACAGCATTCAGACGTAATAACTATTTTGTTTCCAAATATTGTTTTGGGGATGAATTTTCTAAAATATTACTTGCTAAGAATTCCATACTATAGGAAACATACTATTTGAATTAAAGCTGTTATTGTTGTTGTTATTAGATACAACTAACCGGAGAAGAATAAATATATGCGAGTGGACTACTGAACTATTCAGCTGGACAGTGATTGGTCACCAATCTACCGTAGTAAGTTAATCATACTATAATTGTGAATTAAGATGCCTAATCCGGCTAGACACGAGTCTAATGGGTAGTTCACTAGACATTCAAAGTACAGTGATATTCACCCTTACCCAAGTCACGCTTACATCAGTATGCAGTTCCTTTTACTGATGTACTTGGAAATTCATCACTTTTGTCGTTCGCTGCTCTTAGGTTTACGGTTTGCAGTCGGGTTTTTTGGTAGAGATATCCAAAAGTATAGTCTCAGTATTTCTTCGTTCTAATCATAAGAAACCAATTAAAGTATTTTCGGATAGATTTACTTTCTTACATTGCATTCTCCATTGTAGAATTATCTGTGAATTTTGAGTAAGATCTTTGGATAGGGCTATACTTACTTCCCTCCTGTATACAATATAAGAAACAACTTTTCAAAGCATATTAGTTTTCTTAGAGATTTCATGACTTACCGATATTCCTTGTTGACCTGGGCTGCCTAAGGACCCTGGAGGTCCAGGGGATCCCACTGGCCCAACACGTCCTGGTTCACCGGGTATACCTTGTTCGCCTGTCTCTCCCTTTACACCTTTAGGGCCTTGAGGTCCAGTGCGTCCTTGTGGGCCAGTCATACCAGGTGGACCGGATGGTCCAAGTGGTCCTGGTAATCCCCTTAAACCTTGTTTACCAATAGGACCTTGTGGTCCAGGTGCTCCATCTTCTCCAACTGGCCCTTGAACACCTTTCGGTCCTGGAGGTCCTGTTGGTCCTTGGGATCCTGGAAGTCCTAAGGGACCCTAAAGTGAATTGGAGATCTGGATTAGGAATGACTTGTGTTGAATAGATAACATACATTTTCGATTTAATCCAGTAATCGAAACTAGTTATGTCTAGTCAGTAACTAATAGGAGGAAAAGAAATTAGAAAATTGTACAGAACAGTCTGAAGTAGACATTGCGCCAAGTTGTTGTAAATGTTTGCAAGAAAGTATTTTTTATTTTGAAAACCTTAATGGTCCAGCAATGGGTGAAGTGTTAACCTCTTGTAGTTTGAGATATAACTCCAAGTTAATTCTTCACCTACCTTGGATTGCAAATAATCCAACGTCAAGCCAAAATGCATCACTGATCCGCACCACTTCAAATGGCTTGGAAAGCTACTAAATGTAATCGAAGGGATTTTACAAGTCAAGTCCTCTCTACGCCCAAGTTCAAACACTTTGGTCGCGCCAATAATAAAATTGAAATTTACGAACTTCTTTATCAATTAATTCTAGTGATGTTCATTTTCAGTACTGTAATATTTCCAAACCTCGCCTGGTTAACTAGTTTACTAGTTACTAGCCGGTCCTAAGCCCGGGTAAAGAGGGAAGGTTGGGCATAGGGCTAGCAACCCTACCCCGTAAAACAAATCTAACCGCTAAAGAAACTTCAAAGCACAAACAAAATATAAAAAATGAAAACAAACTTATTCCCCGCTGGAATCGGAGAGGCGAAATGACGCCAGTTGGTGAAAGCCTTCGGGAAGCCAATTGGCCGATGTGTCTTCTCTCTCGATGAAAGCGAAAGTAAACGTGGGGACATGGAATGTCCGCACGATGTTTGAACCCAGTAAGGCAGCCCAGATTGCAAAGGAGATGAGAAGGTATCACATCGAAGTGCTTGGGATTTGCGAAAGCAGATGGAATGGGAGTGGACTCTACAAACTGTCAACTGGAGAATCAATAATCTACTCCGGTCACCCAGACGACAACCACGAGCACACTGAGGAAGTGGCTATCATGATGTCCTCAAGAGCATCGAAGGCTCTCATGCAGTGGGAACCAATCTCCTCCACATCAGGATCATGACAGCAAGATTCAACTCAAAAGGAAGAAAGGTCACAATCATACAATGTTATGCACCTACAAATAATGCAGAGCAAGAGAAAAAGGAGGAATTCTACAGACAACTCCAATCAACACTGGACAAGACGTCAGTTGGCGATATCAAAATTCTGATGGGCGACATGAATGCCAAACTGGGAGGGGACAACACGGGAAGAGAACTAACCATGGGTCGAGAGGCGCTAGGTGAAATGAATGAGAATGGAGAATTGTTTGCAGAATTCTGTGCATTCAACGATTTGGTGATTGGAGGCAGTGTGTTCAGGCACAAGGATATCCACAAAGCGACATGGATTTCACCAGACACCAGGACACACTAAAAATCAAATCGACTTTATCTCAATCTCAAGAAAATGGAGACGCAGTCTACTTAACACAAGGTCAAGAAGGGGAGCAGATGTAGGTTCACACCACTCACTATCTAGTGCAAGCAACCCCTTTCAAATCAAGTTAAAAGCCTTCAAGGAAGCTGGTGATAGACCTCAATTCAAGTACAACACTCGGAAACTGAAGGATGAAACTACAAAGGAGATCTTCAAGGCAGCCATCAAGACAAAATGGGAGACATCGAGCAACATCCCTGAAGAAACCTGTGTGGAAGAACACTGGAAGTCTTTGAAAGCTATGTGGAAAGAAACCTGCACAACAGTATTAGGAAGGAAGAAGAAAGAAGACAAGGAATGGATCTCGACGGATACCTGGAAGCTGATAGAGGAGAGGAGGATGGTGAAGCAGAAGATAAACCAGTGCAAGGATGCTCAACGACAAGAGGAACTGAGCACAATGTATAAAACACTGGATAAAGAAGTGAAGAAGAGTGCACGCAAAGACAAAAGACACTTCTACGAAACACTGGCAAGTGAAGCAGAACAGGCTGCAGGTAGGAGAGACCTGACGACATTGTATCAAATAACCAGGTTGCTATCAGGGAAGAGACCAACACAGATGAAACCAATAAAAGATGAAGAAGGAAATTTAATTACGAAAGAAGAGAAACAGAGGAAACAATGGGCCGACCACTTCAAGAAGCTCTTGAATCGACCACCACCTGCACTTCGTCCAGAAATACCACCTGCAGCCAGCCGCTGAACTACAAGTGAACATTAATCCCCCAACGAAAATGGAAGTCCTGAACGCCATTAAGCTACTGAAATGCGGGAAAGCAGCAGGACCAGATGGGATCCCGCCAGAAGCGCTGAGAACAGATGCAGAGACAACAGCGGACATGCTCACACCACTATTGCAGAAGGTGTGGAAGGAAGAGAAGGTACCTGACGATTGGAAGAAGGGTTACCTTGTCAAACTGCCGAAGAAGGGAGACCTCAGTGCTTGCAAGAACTGGCGCGGAATCACTCTCCTGTCCACCCCAAGTAAAATATTAAGCCGCATCATCCTGGAGAGGCTTAAAGATGCACTGGATTCAAAACTGCGACCGGAACAGGCAGGCTTCAGGAAGTACAAATCATGTGCAGACCAAATTGCAACGCTTCGTATCATCATAGAACAGAGCATAGAATGGCAATCAGCTCTCTACCTCAACTTCATCGACTTTGAGAAGGCCTTTGACAGCGTCGACCGAGAAGTAATTTGGAAACTGCTTCAATACTACGGAGTACCGCAAACCTTTATCCGCCTCATTCAACAACTATATGAAGATGCCACATGCCAAGTAATTCACAATGGGAAGCTCAGTGATGCTTTTGAAGTGAAGACAGGAGTGAAACAAGGTTGCCTACTATCCCCCATGATATTCCTGATTGTGGTGGACTGGATCATGCAGCAAACAGTAGGCAGCGAGAAGAGGGGGATACACTGGACGACGGAAAAGAACCTAGAAGACTTGGATTTCGCCGATGACTTGTGCCTAATGTCACATAAACTTGAAGATCTGCAGGCAAAAACTAACAAGTTGATAGAAGAGGCAGCTAAGACGGGACTTCAGGTGAATATAGAGAAGACAGAAGTGATGAAGATACCGCACCACCACCATCAACAACAACAACAAACTCCAATCACCGTCAACGGGAGAAACTTGAAGGAAGTAACCTCCTTCACTTATCTAGGAAGCACTGTTTCAACTACAGGCGGGACGGACGAGGACGTCAAAGTCAGAATCGGAAAAGCAAGACAGGCGTTCATTAGCCTGAAACCAGTGTGGAGATCTTCTGCACTCAGCATGCGGAACAAGATACGGATTTTCAACACCAACGTCAAGTCAGTGCTCTTGTATGGTTCAGAGACTTGGCGCGTCACGAAAGGCATTTCCAATAAACTACAGACATTCATCAACAACTGCTTACGCTCGCTACTGAAGATCAGATGGCCAGAAAGAATAAGCAACAAGGAACTCTGGGAACGAACCAACCAAGAACCTATCACGCAACAAATATGCAGGAAGAAGTGGAGATGGATTGGCCATGCACTGAGAAGGCCGACGGAGGACATCACGCGTCAGGCCAGTTGCTCGAGTGGAATCCCCATGGGAAGCGACGAGTTGGGTGTCCGAGGTGAAGGTGACATGCAGGAGGTCGTGCAAGGAGGAAATGAGAGGTTGTGGGCTGTCGTGGGACCAGGTTGAAAAGATCTCAGAGAACAGGATGAAATGGAGACGTGCTACTGAAGCCCTATGTTCCACTAGGAACCCAAGGGACTAATAATAAAATAATAATATTTCCAAAATAATAAAAGATTGAGATATTACCTGACCTAATTATGGAATTAAAGTTGACATCTATATTTTCCTGCGATAGAAATCTACTCGCTAAGTATGCGAACAGCAACAGATAGAGAGCAACAATCAGTCAGTCGATTCATTCACACAGGAGAATACTTAGTTTCCCTGATATACAACCATGCACAAGAAGTCCAAAATTTCAGTTAATTTGTGATACTACTGCATAGTTGAAAGTAGTATAAATTATCAGCAAAATCTGAAAACAATGGCAGCACAAGTTGAAAGCAATTTGTAGATATCAGGATTGAAATTTGACATTATGGAATTGTATAAGTTGATTACTCAACTAGTGATTTATAGGGAAAATATATTTGTGAAATCGGCTTTCTCAAAACTAAGACAGAATGGACTTAAAAGACACTCTATAGTTTTTTTTATAAAACAACCATTACTATCCAAAAGAATCTTTTATTTACACTAGTTTTTAGAATCGAAACTTCCGTGTTCTAAAATAACTCACTTTTCCGTGCTGAACACGATGTTGTGTATCACTGAACAAATTTGCCCAAATTCACATCTCCCAATTATTTTTGTTTTGAATAGTCATTAAACAGTCAAACAATCTGGTTTTTCAAAATGGTACTTTAAGTTTTGATATTTAATTGTCAAAAATTCTTATACGGTTTCAAAATATGTTCACCTAAGGAGTGATTTCCGACCCCATTTAATTTGTCAGTTTTCTGATTTTATTTTTTAGAAGACTTTCATTAAAATCTCCTATCTGTTTTACTGAGTTGTTTAAGACAAATATCTCTAACATGAATACTCAGTTAAGATATTCAGAACACGTTTGTGACTTACCAGTTCTCCCTTTGGTCCTTCTGGCCCCGGTATCCCCATGTCACCTGGTGGACCTTGTGGTCCGCGTGGTCCTTCTTGACCCTTTGGTCCAAGCGGTCCTTGTACTCCCGGACTTCCTTCCACACCTTGTGGTCCCTGTGGACCATCCTCTCCTTGCGTGCCTCTCTCACCCTGCTGTCCAACTGGACCAGGTGGGCCGACATTTCCCGGTTGACCAGCTGGTCCAGGAACTCCAACTGTTCCAGTTAAACCACGACGACCCATAGGACCTTGTGATCCTTGATCTCCTTTTTCACCTGGTAATCCCGGGAGGCCTGTTACACCAACCATCCCAGGTGCTCCTGGAGATCCTGGTAAACCTCTCGAACCCTCTGGACCAACTAATCCTTCAGGCCCTTCCTCACCAGCTTGTCCAGGAAGACCTGGTGGACCCTAAATAGAATAGGATATGCATGAGCATAAACTTTTATACACTTCAAACCATGACATGCAAACTGACAAAGCAATGTAACACCTTACATAACAGTGCTATGGTTCAATTTAGCGCGTTTCGTATTCATGCAAAAACTCAATAGGAATATAAAGATTTTAAAGTAAGTTCGAGGAATATGTCAAGAGACAGAACGAATTAGGGGGAGTAACTGAATGTTTCAAACTTTAAAAATAAAGATCGATGAATACGTTCTGTCCATCATAGCGTATTCTAAGCCACGTCTATTAGTTACTAGATAATAATATCCTTCGGAGCCCAGTGGAACTTCATGGACCGGTATCATATTACGGTCCAGCCACCCTAAGCTTTCTTCTAACCTCATTCTACTGCAGCTAACATTACTGGATTATATACATGGTAATTTGCCCTGTTCTAACCACTCTGGTCGGTTCAGGTTCAAGACCTGCTCGAATTACTTACTTTCCTTAACTAAGACTTTTTCCTAAGCCTTAACACTGCTCTTTCTATAATCCTATTGATTAACTAACACCTGCTGTAGACTTTGTATTAGTTAACGAACATATTCTTGCTGAGTGACTTTAAAGGCCATCTTAGCAACAACTAAATCAACCATTGAGATTATTTTTCTTTCGTCTAGAAAGACGAATTCTCATAAAATAATGATATCTAACTGGCCTTTACGGTCACCCATTTTGACTCTCCTCCGCTCCACTAAGTCAAAAGTACATGCTTGAGTCACATGAAATGCATTCACAATGAGTGACTTTCAAAACCACTCTAATCACAACGGAAATGGCGAATTCGACTTTTCTATTTTATAGAAATCCAACCGAAACAAAGAAATCTAATTAAATATTTCAGTTGTTGCCATTAAAGTCTTTAGAGTCACTTTCACTTACTAGTAGTTAGCTTAAAGTGGATTACTATGATGTCAATATCATGAATACAAAGAATAGACAGACTGGATCTGAAAGTCACTATAACAACTGCTGTAATAACCAATTAGATTTCTCCATTTCGATTAAATCTAATTAACACTGTTTCAACTACAGGTGACGACACAGACGAGGACGTCAAAGTCAGGATCGGAAAAGCAAGACAGGCTTTCATTAACCTGAAATCAGTGTGGAGATCTTCTGCACTCCACTCAGCATGTGGAACAAGATCTGGATTTTCAACACTGAGTCAGTGCTTCTATGTGATGGTTGAGAGACTTGGCGCGTCACGGAAAGCATTTCCAACAAACTACAGACATTCATCAACAACTGCCGCCTACGCTGGCTCGTTACTGAGGCTCAGATGGATTGCCATAATAATAATGATAAGCAACAAGGGACTCTGACCTGGCAACGAACCAACCAGGAATCTATCACCCAACAAATATGCAGGAGGAAGTAGAGATGGATTGGATTGGACATACACTGAGAAGACCATTCGGGAATATCATGCACAGGGCCAGGCCCTCAAGTGGAACCCGTATGGGAAACGACTAGTTGGACATCCCAGCTGAGGGTGACATGGAGGAGATGATGTGAGTAAGAAATGAGAGCTTGTGGGCTGTCGTGAAACGAGGTTCAAAGGACTGCAGAGAACAGAGTTGACTGGAGACGTGCTACTGAAGCCCTATGTTCCATTAAGAACCCAAGGGACAAATAATAATAATAATTTCTATTAAATCTTATTAGTTATTTCAGTAGTAGCTAAAGTGGCCTTTACAGCCAATAAACATATACATCTTTAAAATTAATGAGTTATGTTGAATGTATTATTTCAGTTTAGGGGTCTGTTGAACCACTGAATGGTAATTTTAAATTCTTTACAACCCGAATAATGAGTTTCAATTTCAAACGTTCAGTAGTACTGCTATTATGCTAAACTTTTAAAGCACTCAAAATAGAATACGCTGAATATATATCACTCTGTCAAGTTTACTGATATGCCGATATTTTTCTAATACCTAACATTCGTTTACACATAAATAAAACACTGTCTACTACATGACGATAATCGAGAGGTTTTGATTCGCCAACTCAATTCATGACAGCACGTGACCATGCAATCCTTGTATATCGTTAGCTGGCTGTAGTTTAAACCGCTATAATCATCATCATGGCTTTTACTCCAGGAACTATAAATTTACCTCTTCGATAATCAAGTACTCATCATGTCTCTTCTAAGTATGACAAATACAAGTAGGAAAATGAATACAGTGTTCTGTTGCAACGATTTTATGCACCCTATCGACAGGATACATAAACCACGCTCATAAAACAGTTCATTTAGTAGTTTTCATTCATTTATTGATCTAATGGTGGTTTTTATCATGAATTAACAGCAGTTAAGGATCTATTTCGTGCTGGTTTGTGGTTCATCAGCAGCGTACACTTATGACAACGTTATGAAAACAACTTCGCAACCTGTAAGGCGTTTAACCAAGTTCATGGAAAGTGGGACAATCAACCATTTGTATACAATGACGACCACTTACTTGGATTCCGGGTAAACCTGGGCTTCCAAGAGGTCCAAAAGGTCCACGTATACCCTAAGAAAGAAGTAAGTAAAAGGAAATCAGTTTATACTATAAGGTTTTATTTGAAACAAATCAAAGTTTGATTATACCATTCCGTATCCCTCTAAACCTTATTCTCAGATATTAAAAATAAATTGATAATCATATAAGTATAAGCTTTCTAATATTGAGTCATGAAGAAAAGAAGTATTTAAATTTGGACATCGTTAATAACTGGTCAATTTACTACTTGTAAAAAAACACAGAACACTTCCGAATGTATTGAAGGCAAAATCTCGCATTAAGTGACTTACGACTCCTCCTTTATCTCCTTTTGGTCCGGCGGGTCCTGGTGAACCCTTGTCACCTTTTTCCCATCAAAACCAGGCGGTCCTAACGGTCCAATAGGACCTAAACGGCCAGTCGGTCCTCTTGGTCCAGCAGATCCTACTAAACCTAAAGGACCATCTTCACCTGTTAGACCTTTCACTCCAACTGGGCCTGGAGGTCCTCTTGCACCCACTGGACCTGAAGGTTAAATGAAAATAAAATTGACAATTGTTGAAATCTTTATCTGCAAAATACCCATGACATTTCAAAATCTTTTCAGGATGCTACTTATAAGTAGTTTGGCGTATTTAGTGCATTTAATTGTATAGGTAATTCGTTCTCACAGTTTTTCTTTTTATGTAACTTTGAGTAGAAAATACGATAACAGGAGTCCATACAAATATTGACATAAAGTTGATGCATTTTCAGTTTTTTTGACCCTTTATTATGCATAATCCTTCACAGAGAGACTAATCTTCTTGCTGAGTACTACATAGAATACTGTTAAGCTTGATATTGTTTGAACTCACGTCACTGTTTCTGTTCGAAAGAAATATCACAAAAAGGAAAACGAGGAATTGGAATAAGTAGGTTTTGATGGACTAATTGGCACACATCAGAGAATTTTTTCGACAATAGTTATTTCATGGTACTGTTTTCATAACAGTACTTATAAACTTTCTTTCTACTGGTTAGTTAGTGTCCTTACTAATCAGTTATACAAATGTAAACCTTGTTTAGTATTTCTGGTGAATCATGTATTGTAATCTTGTATTCTATATATACGGCCATATCCGTTTAAAATAGCTTTAAGTGTGCCCCATACGAACTATCTCTTATCATGTCTAGTTGGTATAAATTAGAAAACCCATCATCTTGGTCAATAAACATTTGAACAAACTTGAGGAAATTATTCATAAATACTACCATACAAATCCTATAAGTGTGTACAGAAGTTATTGTTTATCCTTTCAAAATGCTAGACTTGACACCAGCGCAAAATAGAGAAAGAAATATGACCAAAAGCAAAAAGAAACTTCAGGAAAGAAATTTTTCTCCCGTGATAGCATCCACAGCACCTATACGGTTGTATTTAAATATAACTAGTGGGTAAATATATTGTCAATATTAGTTAAGCGATAATTTTTAATTGATTATTGATAGGTGAATAACACAACGGTAGGAATTCGGCAAAAAAACACAAAAATATTTGACCATTTGAAGAAAATGTGAGTTGAAATCAAGGATTACAGGATTTGTAACATAGTGAGTAGATAGTTGTCAATGCGGAAGGAAATGAAAATTAGTAAATGGCTAAAAACATTTGTGTTGTAGCAAAATGAAAATCAAATAGGTTACTTAGGTTAAAAAATTGGAAAATTTTAAAATTATGGAGTGAATCAAGACAAGTAATCGCAAGCTTGCTATCGGATACTAAATTTTAGCTTCGATTTTTGTACTGCCAGAGCTACAGTAGGGGAAGTAAACGTTTCTTAACAATCTTTAGAAAATCAAGTTACTTTTCTTGGACCATTACAAAACGAGCTTTCTGGAACTGTCTATTCACTGTCATCCAAGGTTGTGATTTGCAGCCGTTGGTTGATCTGAGAACTTCACTGAGCTATGTTGGAAAGTGCCAACACTAACATTGAATAGTCTCTCTTTATGTGGGGTTCATGCATCTATCTACACAAGAGAAAGTTAATTGATATATGTAAACTGAAATGCCTGGTAATGTCAGCTTGTCCTTCACACGCGTTCACCGTTCAGCTTTCTTTTTTCAATGCTCGACAGATTGTAATGGGTCTTCTGATTCAGTTCATTCAAACTGTAACCAATAAATCCGTAGGCAGCAACGATAAGGTGATATTGCTACGTATCATGATTTTATACTGTCTTCTCAATAAGATTTTACCACTTGTATTCATACTGACTAACAACCAGAAATGTTAATCTTAGACTTTCTAAGAAAATACAAAAATTGCAGTTGTGCGATGAGATAGTTCATACAGTTTACATAGCTTAGTAACAAAGCAAGTCACTTCATAAGCATATGCACACTCATATTTATTAAGAATACAATGGTGTTAATCACTTTAACCAATATAAAAGTGATCAGTATTACTTTTGTGATCAATACCAGTATGAGATATACTAAATGCTTAGTAGGATTTAAATAGGCATGAGCGCACGTCTTTTTGAACTGAATATGGTCTATGTAACCAGTAGGTAATCAGAAGAAATTCCTCCTACCTTAAACCTTGTGACTGTGCATTTTCTCTCATCACAGATTCTTTCGAATTCTTACTTGAGAAGAAACGGTCAAAACAAAAGTCGACCAGTAATGCCACTAGTATCTGGGGTTACAAGTTCTTAACGTTTGATTTTTGATCTATCTTGTAGTATCTTCGAGGTCAGTGGGGAGATTAGTGTTTTATATATGAATATAGTAAATAGATGTGATGGATTTCTGTCCAGCAAAATCGTTTCTTCAGTCAAGGCTGACCATCATCTTCTGACAAATTCACTGTTCAGGGCTAAATAGGAAACTGAGGAAAGGTGTAACCTATCGTTATCCATATAAAGTTCAACTATATTCAAATATTTTATATCATAATTTGAGTACCTACGTACGAAATCCACCCGGTTACTTCATTATTGTGCCACTGAAAAGAAATGGATGTACACACTAGTCATTAGGGTTCTAACCGAGAAGTTCAATTAATGTCGTCGGATATACACTGATATCTCGAAGGAAGGATGACCCCTGTGAGATCCTAACCGACATCACCTAATGCTGCAGTCAAGGACCTAACCAATGAGCTGTTCGAGCTGGTGAAGCAATTTGAATCTTAAGGGAGATATCAGTTCCGTCGAGATTGCAGATACATGATATTGAGGAGTGCCAACAAGCAAGAAACCTGGGTCAGGACTTTCTACTGATTGCCTCCAGTCAACTAACGCCCATCAAAGTGCACCACGATGGTAGGTCTCCTAGCTTGAAGGTCACATAAAAAATGATCGACAGAATTCAGTCAGTACTCAGACTAGATGACATGAAATTGGTTACTCTCCAGTGATCAATCGATGTAAAGTCTGATATCCTCGGATGTCATTACAAAATGGTTACACTGTCCAGTTAGTTAGCAAACTAGTTGTGAAATGTGTAATACAGTAAACAAGTGGTAGCGTTTTATCATAAAAAGTAAATGTTGTAAACTTCATCTTCTATAAGCTTCAAGATACACATTACAAAGGTGGATCAAGCTAACACGGAGTAAATGTCGCATTCTCCGTAGTTTCTCAGAGATTATTATGCTTCACTTAAAATACCAAAATGATTCATCAGTTCATTTGTGAATAATCTACATATTGCTCGACTATTCCGTAATAAAATGATTTTCACATGATGAGGATTCTAATGGTTGAACAAGAAATGGAAATAATATATATCAGAGGTGAACAGTTTAATGATGAAGCTTCATTTGTCGTAATCGGTAGAATTGTCTGTCAAACAATTTTGGTGCACCTACTAGAAATAGCGACAACTTTGTTGTCTGGTGTTGGTAATGGTGACTGAAGGCTGGCGTTGGGAATTCAAACCGGTGGCCTCTAGTCACAAGCTAGGCATAGTAGTCTAGTCGGACTGAGCTGGTAACTCAGAGACTGCTGGTTGTAACCTGCTTGCCACTCAGACTTTAAATTATTTGAAACGTCTTGTTGTATCAATAAGAAAATTCCTATTTAGTCAAGTAAATTGTGCATTCTAAACTGTCAGATCTTTAGTATAACTTTTCTCATATTGTAATGTAGATGATTTGTGCAATTTGACTGCAATTTTTGTGAAAGAGCGTATAAGATTCGATACAAATATTTCAGAATAAGAATAATTTGAGCGAACAATTGTTTTCAATAACTTCTTCTTCAGGCTCTGCAGTTATAAATCCATGAGAATAAGTGAAATACAATAGTCGAAATAAGACATGATGTACAGTTTTTACTATATTGAGACATTCGGTGTTGTGGGGTGAATGAAGATCAAATCGAACAGAATGGTGGAACTGTTGTCAGTCTAGTGTTTTAGTTGTGTAATGAAGTCAATACTGACAGTAGAGCTACGAAATGAGGAGACAAAATCCACAGATGATGATTCATTTATATACATTTATTGGGGCGTGAATGTATGTATGTTTGTTTACTAAAGGTCAAATAATTATGCGGTGACGAGTATATTCAGGTGGGATGAAAATCATGTGAATACTATAACGAAATAGAGAATAACAAATGTGAAGCAATACATCACGGTTGAAAACGACTACAGGTTATGGTATGAATAAAGAAGGGCGTAAAAGTAGTGACATGAAAAATGAGTGTTCATCAAAGTGATGACAATATAGAAGAAAGGGGTGTGAGGTTTAGATATGCAATTGGTAGTAGGGAAGTTCATAAAGAACGTGTCAAGCCAAGGTAAACAAAGTGGATGTACATATTTCGTGAAGACAGAAATGTTATTTACTTGTAATGAGTCAATTGTATATAAATTATTCTTACATCAGTGATAATTATCAATAAAAGGAGGAGTTTCATGGAAAGTACACCAGTTTGGGTTCATTCGTGCATCACATTCAATTCAGTAATTAAGTGTGAATAATTTCTTCAAGTGTATCTTACGGTAAAACATATTTTACTCAAAAGATACTGCATCAAGAGATTCATCATAATGATAAAATGAATAGACTTTTCTGTTTCTTAAACATACCTGTTGGACCAGTAGGACCCATGATACCTGCATCACCTTGATAACCTTTGTCTCCGATTGTACCTACTTCGCCATCGGGTCCAATTTCACCTTTCACTCCAGCTGGTCCAGGTCGACCTGGCATTCCATCCAATCCTGGGAAACCTCGGACACCTTGGTTACCCAGTACACCTGGTGAACCTCTTACGCCTTTAGAACCAGGGGCACCATCACGTCCTGGCATTCCATCTTTACCAGGATCACCAGTGGGACCCTGGAAATGAATTATTTTCATATAAAACTCTGATGACACTAAATGAAAACAAATAATTTGACAGAATAAGCCAGCATTCTTGTCAAATCACTAAGAACTAAGAATTGAATCGTTCATCGATCCTTGTTTAGTACATGCTGACATACACACCAGCTAACTTCGGCTGCCCACTTAAACTTCCAGGCTACGAAATTCTTCCATCCTATATAATGTGTCAAGTCTACTCTATTTTACTTTGTTCCAGTTGTCGTTAAATAGTATCAAACACCAATGGTAATTTTTCAGAAGTTATTAATCTATCGTGACGATTTTAAATAATGTAATAAAAATGAGAAATCATGGTGGATAGTTTCAAAATGTTTCGCTAAGATCGGTAAAGTTCAGCGAGGAATGTGTTGAGGTGTCACTACCTTCATCAAATTATATGTACTTCACCAATCTTTATGAGAAGTAAGAGAATCTTTCTGATAGACTGTGTTATTTTAGCGATAAATGGTACAAGTTCAACTCTGTTAGCGATCATGACTTTCGTTAAGGTTGTTCATGACTGTGAAGAATTCTTAAGCCTAAGTCAAACAAACCTTGTAGTCAACTGACTTCAAACTTCTAACATCAGGAACCAACCGCAAACATTTAGAATATTAAAAAAAGAGTTTTATCCAAAACAAGCATTTTTCTCATATTTTGTATTCAGTTTAATATTTTTGAAGATACGCTTTCCTATGGTACAAGTTTGTACTAAAGTTTTTCATGAAATGACTTCCAGATCCCTAAGTAATCTTATTTTGGTCCTTCAAAAAATGCACACAGATTGGATAAAGAATCGAAATTGTTTGTCGAGAAGTTTCATCACATAAATTACTTCACCTTAGGTTTGACTAAATCATGCTAGGATAGAAACCATTACACAACATAGAAGTTTCTTTTTGGATGAGATTAAATAAAATTCAAGCTGAATTAGTCTTATGTGTGGCGAAACTTTTCCTTCAATGAAAGTATCATAATTTACAAGGTCGATAAAAAGGTTAACTAGACTTTTATGGCATTAAATAAAATGTCACTATGAGGTTTAGTGTGTTCTAGCCTGGTGAAGAAACTCTCTGAATAAACCATGGAGACTCGAATACTGTAAATGGCGCTCTAGCAATGAAGGCAATAGCCAATTAGAGTTGATCATTTTGGGTGGAGTACTGACTTTTTATCAAATAAAGAATTCTAATTGGTTATTTCAGTAGTTGTTTTGGTAGCTTTTACGGTGAGTCAGGCTCAAATTACAGATGGTTTTAAAGGGGAACTTTGAAACTACCCAAGAAACAGCTGGGCAAACCAACTAGGTTTCGTTATTTCGTCTGAAAACGCAGTTTTTCACAAAGTAAACAATTTGAACTTGCTTTTTCGATCGTTCCTAAGGTGGTCTGTAGAAACAAGTGACTCTGAGTGTCACCCAAACAGCCATTGTAATAACTAATTAGATTTCTTCATCTTATGAAAGCATTACCTATCCATGGACAACACAGAAACCCAATAGGTTATTTCAGTTGGTTTTCAGCCTAGATTTCAGAGTCACTGGACTTTAGCAATGATTTTAGCAACCACCCTAATTAAACCTAGAGATTCTTACGTGACATTGCAAAAAAAGGAACCTTTCCTCCATTATTTAAAACGTGCAAAAAACCATCATTTTATCTTGATCTCAACACATTTTTAAGTTGACCTTTAAATTGGCTTTAGAATACAGTACAATATACCTTCACTTTGAGCTTAAATTATAATGTACTGTTTAAAAAATTTCTGATACAAACTGCCTGTTTGCATTTGGAAGGCGAATGTAAAACTTGAGTCAAATACAAAAAAATTCCAATCGGTTGCCCGATATTAACTAGTATAAACATCAAAATCTAATTGGGAATCGTAATTTGTCAAATGTGTCATGAGCTTACTCATCTAACTGACTTCATCCTCTCCTTCACACTTGCTAGTGTTAAGGCAAAAACAGTTCACTATTTATTGGTCATTCTATCAAAACAACAAATAAATGTCATACGTGAAATTTGTTTAAATTAGCTAACTTACAGTTGGTCCTACTGGACCTTGTTGGCCTTCAGGTCCTGGATCACCTGTAGGTCCTGGTGGTCCAGTATTGCCAAGACTGCCCGGTTGTCCAGCTGGTCCACGTTCACCTGGTTCCCCACGTGGTCCTGGAAATCCAATAGGGCCTTCTCTTCCAGCTGCACCCTAATAAAATCGTTATAAAACGACAAAGATGACAACAGTTTTATTAAACTGTCAGTTTTTAGCAAAAATTACTGACAAACATGAGACAACTTCCTCAAGCCAATCTTAATGTGCAGAACTTCAGAATGAATGTATCAAGTGAGACTGGAAATGTCCCAAATATACACAACAACATGATTTACATCCCCATTAGAGCGAAATCAAGGAATGCTCTTCATGATTACTGTAAGTTTTATCACTACACTGTATATTTACGCGTAGTCAATCTGATTAGTTGTATATCCCATCTTTAATGCAAATTTGTTGAATCGTAAATGTAGGAGTGTGGAAATACCTTAATTACACTGTCAATATTTTCAAAATTATGTATATTTCACATATCACTATTAGATTTTCAACCTGCAGAAGAAATAACCTCATGTTCTTCGGCAAAACCTGTTGTAAATCTTAACATAACTATTTCGAAACATCATGTAAGGATATCATCTTGAAAGACATCGAGACGAGGGAACAACGGACACATGTGTTGTAACTTTGTCCATGAATCCTTAGCGTTCAGTTGCTCCCTCGGTTATGTTAACCCCTGGTGATACACAGTAATGATGACGATGCCCTCAGTGAGACTTGGACTCGTGATTGATCGCTTCAAACGCCAGAGTGTTATCCGCTACACCACCAAGTCATGATAAACCCTTCTTTTGCGATGGATATAGTTGTAGTATAATTGCTTGTATTGTACCGTCGTTGGTTGAGCTGAACTGGCAATATCGAGGCATCCGCACAGGAGCCCATATGCCAATAGAGACCGATCAATTCAGTCCAGTCAACGACGGTATAATACAAGTAATTATACTGATGATACACCACCCTGAAATTAATCACTTCTATACAAACCACCCAGCATTTACATATATTTTTCATCCAATAGTATACATTATAATGACTGTCATAGAAATCATCACTTCAGAAACAGAATTACAAGTTTCCCATTTGTAGTTTAACAAAACTAATTCTAGATAAACTGTAAGAAGTGATTTATGACAAACTTAAAACAAGGATTCATCCTAGCATTCTTTCGTGAAAAATGTTAAACCTTGCAGAAAAAAACTGGCAAAGGTAGTAGCGACATATAATATTTCAAAAAGATTTATAAGTTAAGGTTTCTTTAAAGTAAGTTTCATCAAAAAGAAATACTTACTGGTGGTCCAACCGGTCCAGGTGGTCCTACAGGGCCTTGTAGACCTTGTTCTCCAATCGGACCAACTGATCCAACTGGTCCAACTGGACCAACATCTCCTTTAAGGCCTGGCGGTCCAACCCTTCCAGGAGGACCACGAGGTCCAGGAGCTCCTCTTTGACCTTGTTGTCCTGTTTCTCCAGGTGAGCCTGGAGGTCCCATATCGCCTTTGTCACCTCCACGACCACGCCTGCCAGTTAAACCTGGTGGACCTCTCTCGCCATCTGGACCAGGTGGACCAGGCGGGCCAATCGCACCAGGAAGACCCTTAACTCCCAGATCTCCTCTGTTCCCGACTGGACCTGGTGGACCAGGGTCACCTTTCATGCCTACAACACCCGGTGCTCCGACAGGACCGGAGACACCAATGTCTCCTTTGACTCCTTTTGGGCCTGAATCACCAGGTACTCCTCCAGGTCCCGTTTTCCCATTTTCCCCTTTCACACCAAAGGGACCAGGTCGACCACGTTCACCCTTATAACCTCTTGGTCCTTGAATGCCTGTATCACCCTTTTGTCCATGTGGACCAGTATCTCCTTTAGGACCAGCATCTCCCTTTGGACCTGGTGAATTAAAAGGGAAAATGTATACATGTACTGAACAGACCTTTATGAATTGTTTAGCTTTCTATTTTCTAAACAACTGTGAAAACAACACTGTGAAAGAAAAAGTAAGATTGTGCATTAAATAATAAACTACATATTATGAAATATTGAGGCTTATTCGCTAAAACACTTGTATGTCAGTTAAGTATCGTGGCGCTTAGTCCTCATTCGTAATATCTTAGCGGCTAGGTCGCATTTATCAGAAGCCCTAGGACAATAAGCTTCACCATTGGAGAAATATTATAAATTACACACTGCCGACTAGTTACAGTGTTTGTATCCTTTAGAATGCCTTACAAGGTGTTACCAACACCTTGTTGAGTGAAATGGGGTAGCAACTAATTATCTAGTGCGTGAAAATCAATTATCCTAACCAATGAGGCGCAACTCCTTGAGCTTTGCAATTTTTCCCTAATTCATTTAATGCGCTACAGTAACTGACTTCCAATAAAGTAGAGATGCTCCAGAAGAGAAGCTTCCGATAAATATAATCGAAATAATAAATAAAGGCTTCACTTTTATTCACTGCATTACAAATAGATACTTTTTTCGAAAGTTGAACTAAAAACATTTATGCTATATAGATAATCAAGGTGTGTCACATCTGGAAAAGGTTAATTTAGATGAAAAAGAGCTTTTCTGGTTAAAAGTATGTTCGATTATGTAATCAAGTGCGTTTTAAAATATGAAGTCCAGTGACTTTTCTCAAAAGTTATTTTAGGACAATACGCTAGAATAGGGATCTCAATTGTGATCTCAATTAGAGATCACAATTTGTGCTCTTTTAAACAGCCCGAAGCAATCGGTAGAAACTTCTGAATTTCAATTTCAGGTTGACAGCTGTCTGAAACCCCACTGAAACTGGTGATATAATTACGAATACATATCACGGAAATGCGTAATGACAGAAGTTATTATTAATCTCTACAGCTTGGATGGGACACACTTTCCAGATACTGCTTGATGATGAATAGAAAAAGTTATAAAATTTCTGCCTATTGTTTTTTCGCGATTGCTTTCACCACAATATGGAGTCATGCTTAGCCTTATAACCATCGACTACATGACCAATGAAATTCAGTCATTAAAAAGAACTAGAAAACACTATAGTTGCTAAATGCCTACTTTTTATATGCTAACTAACCTGGAAATCCTGGTAGACCATCAGTACCCGGAACGCCCGACGGACCAGGGCGTCCTCTTTGACCAGCAACTCCAGTTGGACCACGAGGACCAGCCATTCCTTCTGGCCCAGAGGTTCCAGTGGGTCCTGCAGGACCTGGTAATCCGGGTAGACCAGGCTCTCCAATTTCACCTTTACGTCCCCGTGGGCCTTGGTTTCCTGGTTTACCCCTTGGACCTTGTGGACCAGGTTGACCCATAGGGCCACGCATACCAGGTAGACCTGGGTCTCCTTGATCTCCTATATCTCCAGGAGGCCCACGTGGACCTTCTTCACCAGGCAAACCTTGATCACCTTTGGGACCGGGTGGTCCCAATTCTCCCTTATCTCCTTTAAGACCCATAAGTCCAGAATCTCCAGGGCGCCCATCTTCTCCCTAGAAAACAAGAAGCAAGTAGAAAATAATGCCGTTTGAACAATTCAAAGAAACTTTTTTACAGTGTGGATTAATTATTCGCTGAAATGAGTTCAATTAAACAAGTAATCTTTTATCGCTAAACTGTACCATAACATGAGGGTTCTGCATAAAGTTCTAAGCATTCAAGTTTCATTTTCTTAGGATAATCGATTCCATTTGTTGCCTATAAATCTTCTTCAGTAAGCTGCGCAGTTCTGCTTACCTTTATGCATCAAGCATAACTCATAGCTGTTTGCATGAAGCTTTATGGGGTTACTCGTCCAATTAAATTAGAAGCTTCTTGATGAGATTCTTAGTGAAATCAGTAGCAGTCACTCAACATAAATATGCATCATGATTACTGCCGAGTAAGTAAACATCTGGTATACTCCATGTAAGAATACTCTTCTACTAGGTGATCTGCAAGAAAATACAAGATGGGATTTGTTTTAGTCTGGGTGTTGCAAATACACTTGCCTTATTTCTTAGATAGACGGTGTATAAATTAAAGGCTGATAATACGACAGTCTAGTCGGTGGATACAATTCTCTAAATCATTTTACGCTGCATCATGACCGCAGCCGACCAGCGTGGTGTCATCGCGATCTGCTATCTACTTAATTTTCCCATTTTGAGAAAACTTGTAAGATGTCACGTAATAAGTTGACTTGAATGTAACCTTTGTCTTCATAAAACTAAAAATTAAATATTGTTTGTCTTTTCTGATCACCACTCCTATTTTAAACTATTTATGCATTCTATTTAAATGTCTGCTGTGAATAAAAAGTTTGGAGACCGAATTCCCAATAAATGTGAAATCTTATTTTCCCTTCTGCATAATATTTTAACTCATATGTATCTACCTAAGTTAGGGTTTCTGTAAGAACTAAGTGATTGATTTCAAGGCGACATAAGTCACAGATTGATGTTATCCAAGGACTGAGGAGTCCTATACTAGGACGAAACAGCTGTCCAATTCTCCCAGGTTTTCAATGGTTCTCCAATTGTTTTCAGTCCCCGATGAATACTACCTCAAAATAAATATGCGTTTATGCATCCGATTTGATATTATTAGTGAAAGTAGTTTTAAGAGGAGTGAAGTAGTATTTAACCAAAATCGACTTAACGTGTAGCTGATATCTTTAGTTATCTGTGAAGTCATTAAAATACAACAGTTTGCATCGGAAACTATGAACTTAGGAAGGAATATTCCGGTTGGTGATTAAAACTCTTTTTTTTTCTTACACTTTTACTTTTTTTTCAATATAAGTTTTATACAAATACGTAATGAATTCAATTGTTTTCATATTTTACTGTCCAAATAATAGTTTGCTGTTAATTAGCGGAATCAGTTGGCCTCTGAGTTAAGTATGTTCATCTACACACACCAGCATACATACACACACTTACAAACTTTGAATACTGTCCTGGCTTCGAATCGTAGTCTGATTAATTTATAAAGCAGAATCTTATAAAAGTCAGTATTCGTTAGACTGTCAAGGTTCAATGTTGGTACATTCATCTGGCATGGATCCTACTATTAGACATTGCATATTACTTCATGTGTAAATAGCACATTATAATGATATGTAAAAGACAAAATGGTACACAAAAATTACAAAGCAGCTATAAAAACAAGATACTCACTTTTGGTCCAGATGGGCCAGGTTCACCACGACTACCATCCAGTCCTGGAGGTCCCTGTGGAATCGAAAATTATTAAAATAGCTGAACCAAAATACAAGTTCTTGTTTGGATGCTCAAAAAATGTTCATATCATGTTTTAATAAGATTATATCAAAAAAACTGATGCTTCTGCATATATTTTCAACTTTACGCTCAGTCGTCTGTTTACCTAAGAGTGGTGTGTTTTAAGTAACTTGTCAGTGATTGAAGTGCACAGAGTACACTCATATCCGTCATAATACCATAGGTGATGTCAACAGCTCTACAAAATTACTGTTTGATTATCTCGTGTCATTTAGTTATCATACCTTCTGAAAGTTACCACGCTATTGTAAATATGTTGTGCAGTATGCTGAACTCTAACTTGGTCATAGCAAAGAAACCGCAAAAATGAAGAAAGGTAGTAACTTCAGTCAAATCGATTCCGCTTAGGCAAGGGGAATAGTCGTTATAGGAAAGTGTAGAAGTAGACGTCACTGTACAAAATTAATCGGGTACAAAATCTTCAGAACAAAAGAAATGATGACACCATGTTATCATGAGCTGCAAAATGGCCTTTTAGGTTCATGAGTAGCAATTAAAAAATGTGTTCATCTTGAAAACACCAGCTTCACATCTGTCAACTGTTTTTCTGCTAAAACATTTACAGCTAATTTGTTTTGTTTGTCATATTCTATACAGATAGTTTCATCAAAGGGAATTTTCAATCAGCTATCCCTGCCACAAAGATAAACATACCTTTGAGAATACATGTTACTTATTACCTAAATGATGAAGGATGTTGTCAAATCAAACTTCACATTCAAAACAAATTATTTTCTTTTAGAAATGACTTACACTTGAACCTTGACGCCCGGGTGGCCCCATTGGTCCGCGAGGTCCTTGATATCCTGTGTCACCTGGGTGTCCAACTTCTCCTTTAGCACCAGGCTCTCCAGGCATTCCTTCAGGGCCAGTGCCACCAGTTATCCCTCGAGAACCACGCACACCCTTTAGAGACAGCTGTAGAAGAAAAAAGAAATCATATTATGACATGTGATCTAAGAGACATATTGGCCTGTGATGGTGACTTTGTCACTGACTTACCAAATGCTTTTGAAGTAAGTCTCGAAATGTAGTAGCACGTGCAAAACTACTACTGCCAATACCAAGATTCAAAGGAATCACGAACAGTGAACCCATAGGACCAGGTGAACCAGGTTCTCCGACGGCTGCTGAAGAACCATTTAGACCCTATTTAAGACATAAAAGTTGATGATGAGGAGTTTCAAGGATAAGCATACATTATGTTCGTTCATTAAGAAAAATAAAATTCAGTTAACTATAAACTCATTCTGGTAAAAACAGTGGGACCATTTGTATGTAAAACTGTTAGGTCAAGTGAACTTCAAATTTACAGCACAATACAAATGAGACTTGTAGACTGCTAAAATCTGGTTCAGTGCTAAACTTATTTCTGTGGTATGATACACATTTTTATTCCTATTTAAAAAACAGTGAAATTAGATGGAATCAAATGAAATCAACTCGAATTTAAGTATTTGAAACCAGCCGGTCCTAAGCCCGGATAAAAAGGAAAGATTAGGCATAAGGATAGCAACCCTACACCGGAAAATCAATCCAGTCGCTAAAGAAACTTCAAAACACGGGCGAAATATGATAAATAAACTTATTCCTTGCTGGAATCGGTTCGACGAAATGACATCGGTTGGTGAAAGTCTTCGAGAAGCCAACTGACCGGTGTGTCTTCTCTCTCTCTCTCTCTCGATGAAAGCGAAAGTAAGAATGAGGACATGGAATGTCCACACCATGTATGAACCTAGCAAGGCTGCCCAGATTGAAAAAGAGATGAGAAGGTGTAGCATAGAAATGCTAGACTGGGAATCTTCGAAAGCATATGGAATGAAAGTGAACCCTCCAGGGTCATAACTGGAGACTCAACAATCTACTCCGATATTGTCACACAGACGACAAACACGAGCACAGCACACTGAGTTTCCGAGTGGCTATCATGATGTCCTCAAGAACATCAAAGGCTCTCCCTCATGCAGTGGGAAACAATCTCCTCAACGATCAGGATCATGACAGCAAGATGGATTCAACTCAAAAGGAAGGAAAGTCACAATCATACAATACTACACTATGCACCTACAAATAATGTAGATCACGAGAAGGAGGAGGAATTCTATAGACAACTGCAATGAGTACAGGACAAGGCTCCAGTTGGCGACATCAAAATTCTATTGCGTGGGGTGACATAAGTATCAAACTGGGAGCGGATAACACAGGAACAGAACTCCTCATGGGTCGAGAAGCACTCGGTGAAATGATGGGGGAGAATGGAGAACTGTTTTCAGACTTCTGCACATTCAATGATTTGGTGATTGGAGGCAGTCTGTACAAACACAAGGATATTCAAAAAGCGAGCAACATGGGTTTGATTTCACCAGACACCAGGAAACACCAAAAATCAGATCGACTTCATCTCAATGTGAAGAAAGTGGAGACGCAGCCAGCCTACTGGACACAACATCAGATTAAGAAGAGGCGCAGATGTAGATTCACAACACTCACGCCACTATCTAGTGCATACAAACTGTCTTCAAAATCAAGTTGAAAGCCTTCACAGAAGTTGGCGATAGATGACCACAGTTCAAGTTGAACACCCAGAAAAAAAACGGAAGGAGGAAACTACGAAAGACGTCTTCATGTCAGACGTCAGGACAAGATAGGAGACATTAGGCAACAATCCTGAAGAAACCTGTGTAGAAGGACGCTGGAATTCTTCGAAAGAGGTGTGGAAGGAAACCTGCACAACCGTGTTAGGAAGGAGGAGAAAATAGGACAAGGAATGGATCTCGACGGATACATGGAAGCTGATAGAGGAGGGAGAGAAAAATGGTGAAGCAGAAGATGAACCAGTGCAGTGCAGTGCAGGGATGAACAATGAAAACCCACAAAACTCTACACTGGACAAAGAAGTGAAGAAGAGTGAGCGCAAAGATAAAACACACTTCTACGACACATTGGCAAGTGAAGCAGAACAGGCTGCTGGTAGGAGACAGAAACCTGACAACTTTATATGAAATAACCAGGCTACTATCTGGTAAGAGGTCAACGCAGACGAAACCAATGGAGGATAGTGAAGGAAAGCTAGTTACCAAAGATGAGCAACAAAGGAGACGATGGGCTGACCACTTCAAAAAACTATTGAATCGACCAACACCTGCACCAGAAATACCACCAGCAGCCCAGTCACAGAATTGCCAGTAAACATAAACCCTCCGACAAAAGCAGAAGTGAAGTCCTGAAAGCCATTAAGTTGGTGAAATCCGTGAAAGCAGCAGGACCAGATGGAATTCCACCAGAAGCACTGAAAACAGACGCAGAAACAACAACGGACACGCTCACACCACTGCTGTAGAAGGTTTGGAAGGAAGGGAAAGAAGGGTACCTGCTGATTGATTGGGAGAAGGACTAGCTGGTCTAACTTCTGGAGGAGGGAGACCTAAATCTTTGCAGGAACTGGTGAGGAATCATGCTGTTGTCCACACCATGCAAAATGTTAAGCCGCATCATCGTGGAGAGCTTGAAAGATGCGCTAGATTCAAAATTACAACCAAAACAGACTGGCTGACTGGCTTCAGGAAGAACTAATCATGTGCAGATCGAATTGCAACGCTTCACGACGCTACGCATCATCATAGAACAGAGCGTAGAATGGAAGTCAACTCAACCTCAAATTTATCGACTTTGGAAACACCTTCGACAGCGTCAACCGAGAAGTAATTTGACGGGCAGCTGCTTCAACACTACGGTTCTAGTGCAGCAGTCCTTTGTCAACCTCACTGAACACCTATGTGCCATATGATGCTACATGTCGAGCGGTTCACCATGGGAAGCCCAATGATACCTCTGAAGTGAAGACAGGAGACAGGAGTAAGACAAGGCTGCCACCTACTATCATCCATGATCTTCCTGATCGTGGTCGACTGGACTGGATCATACAGCAAACCGTGAGGAGCTGTGAGAAGATTGGCACATGCTGGCAGAATCGATGAAAAGACTTTAGAAGAAGATTTGGATTTCGCCACCGATGATGATTTATGTCTTATGTCTTGTCACACAAACTCGAAGAACTACAGGCAAAAACTAACAAGTTGACAGAAGAGGGAGAACAGCGAAAACAGGACTTCAAGTGAATGTAGGGAAGACAGAGGTGATGAAGATACCCAACCAACATCAGCATCAACAACAAGCATCAATCACTATCAACGGGAGGAATCTAAAGCATGTGTCTCTCTCACCTCCCTAGACAAAGAAGTGTCGTTTCAACTACAGGCGGCGCAGGCACAGGTGAGGACTTCAAAATCAGGATCGGAAAACCAAAACAGGCTTTCATTAACCTGAAATCAGTGTGGAGATCTACCGCACCACACTACACTCCACTCCACTCAGCATGAAGCGTGAACAACATCCGGATTTTCAACAGTAATTCAGTCAGATCAGTGCTTCTGTGTGATGGTTGAGAGGCTTGGCGCGTTATGAAAAGCACTTCCAACAAACTACAGACATCCATCAACAACTGCCGCCTACACTGGCTAGATACTGACATTGAAGATCAGAAGAATAGAATAGTATGAATATGCAACAAGGAACTCTAGGAACGAACCAACCAGGAACCTATCGCTCAATAAATATGCAGAAGAAGGTGGAAATAGATTTGGCATACACTGAGAAGACTGATTGGGACATCACGCGCCAGACCAGGTCGTCGAGTGAAATGCAAATGGGAACGACGAGTTGGGCGTCTGAGGTGAGGGTGACATGGAGGAGATTATGTGAGGAAGAAATGAAAGCTTCTGGGTAGTCGTGGAGCCAGGTTAAAAGGACTAGAGAGAATAGAGTGGAATGGAGGCGTGCTGATGAAGCCCTATTTTCCACTAGGAACCGAAGGGACAAATAATAATAAAACTAAATATTTGAAAAATCAGAGTGGTTCAGATTGATTTTTCGACACTCAAAATGTACCACTGATTTCTAAATTGGACTGATTTCTTCGGTGTCAACTGACATGTGGGCTCCTGTGTAGATGGCTCCATGTTAGCTGAAGATTCATTACGATGTATTTGCTACAGCCTTCCTATTAGGTTAGTGGATAGTTCTCTAGCATATGATGCAGTGGATGCAGAGTTGAAGTGTTATTAGGGATACCACAATTTTCTCGTAGGGATAAATCTAGCTGGTGAGTCCCACATAGGGGCAAAGTCACATCTTGCATTCTATTGTTTGCCACCATGAAGAAGATTAAATAACCGTAAGTTGCTAAAGAGTTTAATAATTCAATTTTACAAGAATAAAACCGCTTGTATTACTCAATGGATATATAAAAAAGTTCTTCGGAGCAAAGATCACTTACTGGTTCACCTTTATCCCCTGGTGGACCACTGTCACCCATAGAACCTGTTGGACCCTGAAATTATGCACAGTATGCAACATGATTAAATTAGCAAATTGAAGTATATCAAACTGTTATTGTCTATTTCAATATACACGGAAATCTATGTCCGACAGTCGATGTTACCTTATTGGATAATGGCAAATCTAAAGGTAACAACTCATAGTGTCTTTCTTGTTTTATTATTATATTGCCAAGAAAAAAAGCAGCAGACAGTGAAGCATACTTCTTGCGCGAGAGTTGATGACACTATCTGGTCGCCAAAACCTAGATAGGTGAAGCTGGATTCCAGCCCATGAGCGACGGGGTGAAAACTAAGCGCCTAGACTGATCATCATAACACAAGCCTTATTGTCTAGATTGCCTTAAGTTCCAGTTGAAGTTAAATCGATGAACTCAGGAATAAATATGTTCTGCATACTAGAACTACCATTAAATAAGGAAAAATGGAGTAAGGAGTGTATCATTTGCCTGTTGTGTGAATTTAAGCTATTGGATTTGATAGCGTGTGTTAATTATGAATTTAACTATTTCGGAACTCGATGAATCAAATTTCTCCCGGCGGAAACACCTATCATCTTAGACTCTTCTAAGGCAGTTTTAACTTTTTAAGCTTTATATGAGCTAAAGATGACTTTATCACGCATTCTTTCGACATTTTAGCGATGTTCTGTTTTTTTTCTATCTTTCTAACGCAATAATTTATTTACTATGATCATTATGGAGTATATTTTTTCCTTGTATAGCAGTTGAGGCGTTCCACAAAATACAGGCATGCTAATTATGAGTGACTTTAGAAGCCATCACAGTAACAACTGAAATAACCAATCAGATCTCTGGATGTCAGTTATGAAGGTAGTTTTTTCTCAGAATAAGTGAAGGTGATTGACTATTTCAGTAGTTTTTAGAATGACTTTTAAAGTCACTCTAAATTCTGTTACTATCGTTCTTCTTGATTTATCCATAGTCTTTTTTCTCCGACAAATGAAGTTTCAAACCATACCTATTTTTGTCTCAGCTATACTTAATTTCAGATTGTGTGTCGTCTGTTTGGATTGTGAAATCTGTAAGTAAACTACTTCATACAGGGAAGGCATGCTGTTTAAATACAATTTTGTGTTATACGTGTGACTTGAATCGCGACTATGTCATGTGATGTTCGGTTAAATAAAGTACCAGAATAAAGACAATCATTTCCATATTTTTTCCAGGGATTTGATTTTAACTTATTAACTACACCACTATCAAAGAAACGAACGAGTGAAAATCCACAGATTGAATTGCTGATGAATTGACTAGGTGTATACACTACCTTAGAGCAAGAATATCCACTTATTTTGAAAACATTCAACGACGATGTAGTCAACATATACCAAACAGTCAGTCAACCATTACACGAAAGTCAGTAAGCAGCCAAATTTTTCTATCAAGCAATGTACAGCTTCAGTTCTATCCACGATGACATACAGTTATCTTCTTTTCTGAAAGTGTATTTGTTTTGAATTCAAAAAAAACTTTTATGAATTGCATTTTTGTAATAATTAACTGATTAATCCCGTAGTATTCTAACAGAAATTTCCTTGTACAACTAATGAATATATCATTAAAAAAGGCTTATAAGATGAACTTACTTGCATTGGATCAGTTTCCTTATCACCCTATAAAGTGATTTTTGAAAAAAGAATGCAGAAGATAACCATGAAAGTAGAACAATATAATAAATACAAGCTGTCATATCAAACTATCATCTGTGCACAAGAAGTGGACAACTTTCCGGCGTTTGAAGCGACAGGTACTAGGTTCTAGTGCCAGTTGTCACAACATTCACTAGGGTGGAGGTACATCCAAATGATGAGTCTTAAATGACGTGAAATTCACACCCTGGATTCCTTTGCCAGCCACTGTCAATCACTGGTCATCTTCACTTTGTTACGACTTAAAATTGTCACTTTTAAAAAGTTGTATAACTTTGTGAACCCGACTATCCTATTATAGTGAGAGTTGACCTCATAAACACCCCTACATAAAATCCATGCAAGTAAGGAAAGGCCTCAAGGTATATCCCAAAGTGGCTTCAACAGGAAGTCCAGTCACCGGTAATGATAAACATTGATAGCAGACACCTGAGCTCTTTTACTGAGTAACATATCATTTAGACAGGCCACAGAGTGACGATTCTATATCCTGTGGTTCCTTTTGAGAAACATGTTGGGGACGGATTCTAAAGTTTGTCGAGGCCTTATCCATTATCTGTTCAGAAATAATTTTTATTTTGGTTGTTCTACTTGACCTCTTTTCATATTTTCACCGTTTGTGTCCTTGTTATCCTTCATATAAATATATATGACAAGTACTTGTGCGGCCAAATGTTCCAAAATGTGTTAGACAAATACGCTATGCAGCTGAAATAAATTACACTACATCGTTTTGTTCAAGATGTGGATAAGAATTAGGTTAGTGGTAAGATTGACATTTGTTCACAGTTAATTGTCTTCTGATGTCTTCTGCAGAAAGACACTTCGAAATCATGTGGAGAGCTAAATTGTCTTTCGGTTTCAATGTTCATTTCCGTTTAAAATGTATTATGTAAAGCCAAATTAATATTTCAACTTTGTTTTTATACTACTTGTTAGTAGCTAAATATAAAATGAAAAATGTCATATTATTTGTCAGTTAGAAATACTAGACATCAAACTACGAGACAGTCGGTTATTTAATCCTCCTTTTAACCATCACTTAATGACATTACTAGGCATTATTTTTGTTAAAACCAAACTTCTGAATCATTCCCTTAGGCTCAAAACTCTGCTGTCAGAGTTCTACTTAAAAATTTTTTTTCTTCAATCAAACAGTTAGTTTTAATTCCCTTTAACATTCTTTACTTAATTAACACAATTTCGACTATTCAAGACGGTTGTACTCCCGTAAAAATGGACAATTATCAAAAGATAATGGGTTTGCTCGAGATTTTAGACAGGATGTATTATATATGATGAAGAAGAAGAAGAAAAAGAAGATTCCAATGCACACATGTAAACATAAAAATATTGATTTTAACTGGCATTTATACGCATCTGGTTCTGTACTAAACAGTATTCAATGCACAAATTTCAAAAGATATTCTTGGCACCAGTTAATTTAAACAACAAATCGGTCTAATAATCACATTCTTTCTATTTTCAGCATACTAATAAGTCACTTTTTTTCTGTATATAGGTAACTAATTTCTGGAAAATATTGAAGTTCAATTTCTCTTCTTATGCTTCTACTTCTATCATGGAGAGATGAATCAATTACAAAAGTGAAATAGATGAAAGTGAGTGAAATTGAACTAAAGAGAGAAAAGAGAGTTTCGGTATGTGCGAATACTAATTGCACTGAAATCGTAGCATTCATTCAGCTATCTCTTGTGAAGTGGATTTCATCTATCAGTTGTTAACCTTGTGTGAAATTCCTCGAGGACAAAAAAGGCTGAGAGTTAATATCTCTGATCTTAAAGTTAAGTGATAGACCAATCAGTCTAAGTCATTTATCGATACTGATGTGCAGGATGTAGGGTCTGATTCAGCGTTTCCCTATGAGTTACGAAAACCATGAAACGCTGATGTAATAACTTGCAATGTACTAATCACTGTCATTTCTAAGAAAACATAATGTTCTTCAGATCATTCTTCATTTTTTACACCTTAACCTTAATGTTAAATATAACCTCACTGGGTAATGACGTGCACGTTTGCTTAGTCGATGTATCAAAATTGTTCTTTTCTCATGGTTTACCTTATTCTTTTGAAACTAAGTATGCTGATGACCTGATAGTTTCTATGCCAATTAACTCGTACTTAGATTGCTTTGGACTGAACGGTTTCTTGTCCGAAAGTGACCAGCGGTCTCTCTTCACTGCTTTCAAGCGAAAGCCCTTAAATGTTAGATTATTAATTTTAGCCTCAGATATAAACAAAACTTGTGTGAGCTGCTTCGTCTTCGTAACTTTTGTTGCATTGATGGTATTACTGTAGAGTTTAAATCGAGCATTAACTATCTTGGATTCATATTTACTATTGATCTTGTTGGTTGTCTCATGTTTTGTTGACTTATAAAAAATTTTCGTTTAAAGTATTACATACAGAAATCGAGGCTTTCTGGTATAACTTAAACCTCTACTTTGACAATTTATTAATTCCTGCATCTTACCTATTCTTCTCTATTGTTCTCCATTGATCTTTCCTCGTCTACTTAGAAAGGACTATGTTATATTTCGTAGAGCTTTGAAACCGTCAGTAAGGTGAGTGCTGTACCTCTGGTTCAAATGATTAACACTGTAGTTGACAGATATTTAAATTCTAGCAACCACCCAACTACAGTAATTTCAAATGATACTGAGTATCGAGTTCTCTCCTTATATCTCCTCAGGGAGCAGAAGAAGAAATTACATAGGACTGTACGCTGATACAGCGAAGTACATGAATTAGACTGTACCTTACCTAACATTGCATATTATGTGAGGAACAAGGTGTTAGAACAGAACTCACATATCAACTTTGTAACAGTTAACAACCTCTTTTCAATAATTTAGTTAACAATATAAAAAATTTTCGTCATTATTATTATTTATACTACTTAAATTTTTATAATAACACAATTCGAAATGTTGTAAAAGAGTATATACATACAAATATATCATGCTGAGAATTCCAAACAGTACCGAAAATTGTTTGGAATAAAGTAACTACTAGTATTATCACTGTTATTATTATTGTTAGTAGAATGTTCATTCTATCATGGTTAAACTTAGAGTAGTCTTAACAACACCAACTTTCCTCACTCTCCGTCAGCCTACATCTTTAATATTTCCCATCTCAAAAAACATTCTTGTTGATTTATGTAAGTACATCATATTGTACAGATTGTAAGGCATCTGACAAGTATCCATGAGATATATGCATACTAATTCTGGTACTATGGTTCTTCTTTCTTTGTTCAAAAATGTAACGAAGTCTTATTCATTCATAAGGATGAAGAATTGTGTTACCTAATGCATTGGTTGTCAATAGTAAAAGGAAATATAATGTGGGTAGACAAGAAATTAAAAATAGGAAGTTCCACCATGTGATAAAACAAAGGTTAAGACAGGAAATAAGCGTGTATCACACGTGATAATTGATGAGGACAATAATTAAGTGAGAAGAAATGCAAAACAAGTAGACGAATAATGCTCAACGTCCGGTCATAGTTGATTGATTGTACCTGAACCGGTCTCGTGATAATTGACAGTAGTTAGAAAGGCGCGTTTGCAACCTTGAGGGAACCGATATACCTGGTAAGACTTGAATTTTGCGTCACCCATTGTTGGTATCAGAGACACTGGGGTTATTGTAGGACTGGTTTAAATGTATTGATTGGTCACTAGAAAGCAAACATGTTGTCTAGTCCTGAGTGCTTACTGAATGCTGTCTATCATTTTTCAGTGTGACCACCAAGCTATGAGGCTCACCATCGCGACGCACTTTGATAGATAATAGTTGGTTGCAGACAATCGCCCGGAAGCTGTGTATGGCCTAGGTTTCGTACTTGATGGCTTCCATCAGCAAGGCTTATTTTTAATTACGAAGAGTCTGATATTTCTGGAGAGATTCTAACTGATGTCGCTCAGTCCTTTTTCAGCAGACGTTACGACTAAGCTAACTGGCTCTTGACTGAACTTCTGTAGGACTGGATTGGATACAGTGATAAGTCACTGGAGTATAACGCACTTCATGCCACTTATTCCTTATTTCTGACTTTATTCAGTTAGTCATTTTCACAGATGGGTCACTAAGCTTTTTGACTGATGCTGGTTGATTGCAGACACCCATCAGCAAGGCCTACAGGCAACCCCAAGGGAAGTAATATTCCTAAGGAGATTCAAACCAGCATTACATAGTTATGGAATGAGATACCTTACCACTGAGCTATTCAGGCAACAACTGACCTTCTATATGGTTGCATTACTTACACCGATTGGTCACTGGACAGTTATTAATTCACATTATACAGTCCTTGATAAGTCAAGGTTATCGTTTCAAAAGTAGAAATTGGACACTGTTGTAAATGAGGATTAGTAATATGGTTTCATTGTGCAATATATCTAACAAATGCGTAAACAAAGGGATTATATTCACATTCCATTGGCAGTTTTACACAGTCAACCAGAAATAGGCTTTTCAACAACATTTTATAAATACATAAATCAGATTTTATTATTTTATTCGTCAGTGGTATCTGTGTGAAAAAAAGAGAAGCCTTTTTCCTAGAACCATTGGTGAGGACGGATGACATCGTTTTAGTAGAGAAATATGTGAGCACTAATGAAATAGTAAGACATTGCTTTCAACCCAACTCACACAAATTATGTCTGTGTACTGCAATCAACATGAATAGTCAGTTATTTTTTATTACTTCTTCGCTTTTCTGCTGTTCTCATTTCCAATATTCCTCTCTCTCTCTGTCTATCCCTACTGGGTGAACGTCAACCCTAGTCACTTTCTTCAGAGACATTGTACTCTATATTACTTACATCTGCTCTTATAAGTAGTACAAACGGCCCTTATTTATTTATTTACTTTTGTAATATTTTCCTTCTGTACAAATTATGCCTGTGTGGAAGTTTCGATTTTCTTCA